ATTGGATAACACCACTAGTGTTATCCAGAATGCTTCCTTTGTTGACTTGTGAGTAACATAAAAAAAGGGATTTTCCCCCTTGTTACAAAAAAAATGCAAACATAACATTATCCATGTTAGGTGAGGGTAAACCGCCTCTTATATGTTTGTTATCCACACTTGGTTTCAGTGGATAGTGTAACAACAATAAAAAAAGGCAGAAGAAAAAATAACAAAAAGGCTGTTGCAGTTATTGTAACCCTAATGGCCTCAATTCTGTTCCACTGTTGCTCCTTTGGCACTTCATAAACACTGCAACCACTGCAATGAACTACAAAAAGCAGCAAATCAGTGCAGTGCAGCGGTGTTCTGCTTTTTTTGTTGGTATCAAATAGCAATAGTGGAAGTTGAAAAACACTACTTTCAGCACTGGTTGAGCAGCGGAATACATTCATTGTTCTTTCACTACAAAATAGTGCAGTGCAAGCGCATAGCAGAATTCAGTGCTTTTTGCCGCTAACCACTGAGAACAGTGCTGACAGCTGTTGAGGTATCTCATGTAGAGATGGTCAAAGGGTATCCGTCGCGGATACCCGCTATCCCCTGGCAGATACCCGCCAGAGCCAGCGGATATCCGCCAGGGGATACGGATTTGGGTTCGGATGTGCCCTTTTCTCGGAAATTTGGGTGGGTATCCGGATATCCCCAGGGATACCCGAGACCAATGGCCGGCTGGAAGGGTTTCCTTCCAGCCGGCAAGGTCCTTCCAGTCGGAGAGGCATGTACCTCGTCGACTGGAAGGGAAACCTTCCAGCCGGTGTAGGACTCCTGGGACGGATAGACACGGTAAAGTATATGTATATCAAAAGATCCCTCGAGGGGGAAATAAATTGCAGATAGGTTGAAAGGCTATTACAATTTACAGGTGGTTTGAAAGACCTGCCCCTCTAAATGTACTAAACAAATAACTAAGAGTCTTGTAATCAATATTTAATAATGTATGGCTGATTCCAAGATAGATCTTACTTTCGTAAAGTAATCTCTATCAGACCTAGATCACGTATCAATCTACTAATGAATCTGTTACAACTTCAGGTTAATAATGGAAACTGAGGTGCTGATGACTTGAGCACGAAACAGATGAGTTGTTATAGAGTTTGTTAATGATCTCTTCCTCGAACAATTTCTTGCTAAGGCACTTTAATCAAAAACTAGAGCTCCGGTACTAATACTACTACTACTTGCTATTGGTTAATTGTTAATGTACTACTACTTATATGATGACTACTACTACTAATATGCTTCAAATTCCGAACTCTGTGTTGGTTTCACGCTTACAATACTGTACCAACTCACTACTTATCACTAACTAACTCACTTACTAACTTATTCTTCAACTTGGGTGATCGAACTTACTTCCGTAGGTTGATGGGGAGAAGGGACTTTCTGGTGGGGAGAGGCCCTTCTTTTATATTGAAGAGTGAGGGATTTCTGCTGCAGGGGACTCCTTGTGAGGGAATATTGCTGCAGGGGATCTCACCTTCACAGCCTTTGCGCACAGCCTCCAAACAAATAGCGCAGCTTATGCTGTGCTAGGAACACTTAACTCCAGACCTTGTCACATAATATGCATGCCAGGGAGCACACAAGCGCAGCATGATGTCATGCATTGCCAGGCAACCAAGCCGTCTTCTAGAACATTCTGCATAGGCAGTACCAGCCTGCCAGCCCTGCTGTTATCTCCTTCCACCCAGGATTTGGGGGTCAAAGCCTCTCCTCACTCCTTCCTTCCTCCCTCCGCCTCAATATTTTTCCTCCCTTCACTTTCTACAATCCGTACCCTGTACCCTTACGTAAAACATAAAGTACCCTTATTACACACCGCTCCTCCGTTCCATTCCTGGTCGAGACATGTTCTCCCACTCCACTCCTCGTATATACTTCCGCTCCTCCGTTCCATTCCTGGTTGAGATATGATCTCCCACTCCACTCCTTGTATGCACGCCGCTCCTATGTTCCATTCCTGGTCGAGACATGTTCTCCCAATCCACTCATTGTATGTAATCCTGTCCGTATATACCGCACCTCATCCATAATGATTGTTCCTTCTCTTGTAATGATTGTCACATGTATGTAACTATGCTATCCCAACACCTCTGCTGTATGCTTTTGGCATTGGAACAGGCACAGCACACCACACCGGCAAGGTACATGAGTCAACTCCGGCTGGAAGGAAACCTTTCCAGCCGGCGAGGATGTGCCTCGCCGGCCATTTAGAGGGCGGGTATCCGAGGATATCCGCTTGGATACCCGCTAAGGCGGGGGGATACCCGCTGGCGGATGCGGATGCCGCTTTCCCCGGAAAAAGCAACTGGATATCCGCATCCGCGCGGATATCCAGATGCAAACTGACCATCTCTAATCTCATGTATTTTCTGCTTCTCAATATTCTCTTCATTCACACATCACACTATGTGACACCTTGTATTTCACTTCACTATTTAGTCTGGAGTAGCAGCTGTTGGAAGGACTCTCTTTCCACATCCTTCCAATACACTTTCTCCGCTTTTTGCCTGCTGCTCCTGGTAAGATTTCCTTTCTCTATTTTGGTATAGTAGTTGAAATGAACTGATCCTTCCAATACACTTTTTCCTATTTGTGTCTGCTTCTCCAGTTCATCTAAACAGGCTATAAGCCCATTTGCACTTTTAGCACATCTTCCCACACATAAAACACTTGAACTACAGTGTATAACTATCATCAGGATCACCATGGCAGACTCTACTGCATCAACCACCAGCAACTCTTCCAATTTTTCCTCACTGAAGATATCTGGTATTACTCAACAAAAAGCTCCTGGCTCCAATTAAAACTCTTGGGCTGGAGATTTGTTCTACTTATTCACCTCTGTTCTCTCAATCTATCTGATGTTTTGGATGAGGTTGACCTTAAGGATTTTATGGAAAAATGGGTCAAAGATAATTATGATGCACATTTCTGCATTGGGGTTGCTTTTATGGGTTGGGGGGGTACTTTTTATGGAGGAGAAGTGTGATGCAAGGGCGGAGTAGTGATGTGTAGGTGATTTCAAGATGGTCAAGGATGAGTTCACCTTCATGCTAGAGATATCTGAAGAAAAATTAAACTGGTTCCTCCCCGCTGTTCAGGAAAAAGATACTCCTCAGCAACTCTATTGCTGTTTCAGTGGCTAGCAGAGCGGATCACCACTAGTGGCCGCTGCAAATAGCACACCAAATTCACACTTTATTTCTCAGGAAAATCAGCAAAGAGCAAAGTGGCATCCCTGCTGGTAATAGCTCAGCTCAGTGGAGCAAGGCCAACTCCACTCTGCTTTTTGATTTTTTTTGGCTTATTTGGCACACCAGTGCCTCCATAATTGCACACCATTTCCATCAGAGTCAATTTAAAAGCAGTTGAAAATTGAAACTTGGCCCAGAAATTGGAAAAATTGGCTGCTGAGGTACAGGCCCTTGGTTTATCAGTATGCCTAGGTGAAGTCCAGTACTGGCACTCTAGAATCTGATGCACCACTTTTAGTGGTAAAAATTCTAAATAGTGGTTTGACATGGTATAAAGGCTGGCCAACCTCCTGTTAGCATTAAAATGATACTACAATATCTTGCAGAATTTAATCTAGTGTTGCCATTGCTGCTTATGCTGGACCATATCCACCACTGTTTGTACCTGCTTAGACCTTGTTAAATCTTCATGATATAAAGTGCATACATGGGACAGAAGATTTAAGAAGAACCAAATATGAATTCAATGTCTTACAAGGAAGCCTAATAGTACTGAACTATGTATTTCAATACTAATTTTGACCACACAAGCCACCTAGTTTTAGGGCCTTTACTGTAGGACATGAAAATTCAATTTCTCAGAATTCATCTTCCTCAATCATCAAAAGTGAAAATTGCAAACAGAAATTGTTTGGCCTAAATGGGAAGAGTTTCAATAGCAGATCCATCCACTTTTTTCAATTTGTGTGCAAGTCAGAAAAAATGAAAAATTTCCAAAATTGAATCCCATGGTTAATTATTCACTTAATTTTGGAGGGTCAATTTTGACAATTATTCATCATGAATACTGAATGGATCACCTTTATATTTCCATTGAAACCTTTTAGCTACTGTGACTTTAAGTGACTTTAAGGATGGTGATTGGGTGGGTGCTACCCATTGGATAGCTCAGCTTGACCCACTATATTACGTAGAGATGGCCCCAGATATCCATGCGGATTTGATTATCTGCTTGCTTTTTCAGCAGAATCAGGCTTCCGCATTTGCATCTGCTAGCGGGTATCCGCGGATATCTGCCCCATAAATCACACCAATTGGAGGGGGCCACTGAAGACAACAACAAGCAAGGACAGCGGGCAATAAGGCGCCAAGGGGTTGTTGGGGGGAGTGAGCAATTTGGTTTACAAGGAGGAGGGGAAGCGGTTCCACTTGCTGTCTGTGATGCACGGCCAGCGGTTGTCCTCAGACGGACGTGGACGGGGCACGCCAAGTGTGGCCACAATTAGCATTTGTATTATAGAGATGGTCTCAAGGTAGCCATTGCGGATCCCCGCTATCTGCTGTCAGATACCGCCTAGCGTAGAGATCGTTCGTCGGTACCCTTAGCTAGGTACCTAGTACCGCTTGGCGGGTACCGCCCGCACCCGCCAGGCGGTGCCGGGTGCCGGTTTTTTGGCAAAAAATTAAGCGGTACCTGGGTACCGCTAAGGGTACCGCCCCACAGCCCTGCTGTAGGGTGGGGGGGGGAGGGGGCAGGATCAGCTGCACGGGGGTTTATTGATTGATTGATGGACTCTTTGGGCCGAGTCAATCAATCAATCAATAAACCGACCGCACGGCCAAAAAAACCAACCATTGAACTTCAAACCATTCCCCCCTGGCCAAGCCAATCAATCCGTATTGACCGACTGCACAGCCAAAAAAAATTAAAAGGAACAAGGATATAAAAAAAACCCTTCACATCAATAATTGACGATCATCATGGCTCGCACCCGCAACCAGTCTTGCACCTCATCGCCGATGTACGACCCGCAAGGAGACAAAGGGAGCCGAGGGGGAAGCGATGGCTGCACCCAGCCACCTTCTGCAAGCAATCCCCAGCCCCCATACGCGAGCGATCAAGTGCGGACCAATCATGAGGGGCCAGGTAAGTGCTCCCTCTCTCCAGTACTTATGTTTCATGTTTTCTTACTTGTTTTTCAGCAATTTGCTGATGTTTTTCTTGACTTTTTTTATTTTTTATTTTTGAACAAGTAAATCTTACATTTTGTTCAGCATTTTGCTGAGGTTTCATTCCTTTTTTTTCTAATCATTCTTTTGGAATTGGATAATCAACTTGCTAAGGTTTTTGTTTACTTTTTTTTTTATTATTTTTTTGAACTTTCATAGGTAATTCTTGCATTTTTTTCAGCTTCTTGCTGATGTTTCTTTTCTTTTTTTTTATTTTCCTTTTGGACTTTTATGAGCAACTTGCTGATGTTTTTTTGCTTTTTTTTAATATATTTGTTTGGAACTTTTATAGGTAACTCTGGTTGCAATTTTTTCAGCACTTTGCTGATGTTTCTTTTCTGTTCTATTTTTTTTTTCTTCTGGATTTTATTCTTCCCATTAGTTATTAGTTGTAGATAGTTTACAATAAATATGAAAAAAAAGAAAAAAAAAGTGACTTGTCTGGCAGTGTCAAGTTAAATCAATAATTTTCAACAAAATGAAAAAGTGACTTTCAAATCTGGGAGTGAACACCAAAAATAATAAATAAATATGAAAAAAAGAAAACAAGTGACTAAAAAATGAAAAAAAGAGAATTGGGACTCTGGGACTCTGGGAGAGAAAATAATAAATGTGAAAAAGATACAAAAAGTGACTTGGGACTGTGGGAGTGAATCTAGGTGAGAAAAAGAGGGGGGGTACCCGCGGTACCCGCCAAAAGTACCACCGGTACCTGCCGGGAGGTGCCTGGTGTGGTACTTGGTACCTATTTTCTGAAAAAATTCAACAGGTACCTAGGTATGAACAGGTACCCGAGTACGAACAAACAATCTCTAGCCTAGCGCCAACAGATACCCACCAGTGGATATGGATGTTGAGGGACACCCTGGTGACTGAAACAGAGAGTGCTATAAAACTCACTGAGGATCTTGACAGTGAATATAATAGTTTGTATTCAATGATCAGGAGAGGAAGAGAGAAGTACAGAGCTGTTAGAAAAGCAGTAGCAGGGTGCTTGTTAGAAGCATAACTCAATATAAGCATACAGGCTGTACCATCCCAACATCCCCCCTTGCTGATAACAAGCAAAATTTTAGCATGCCTTAGAGTGAAGAAAAACAAATGGGAATTGCATCACTACATAGGAATATGATAAAGGCAGCATCTGCGGATCTCTTGGGATATGAGGTGATACACCTTTGTGGCTTGGTGTAGCGGATGTATGGACCAGCGAGATGTTGAATTTGCAAGGGTTCCAAGGGGAGATTTTGCTTGAGAGCACCGGATGGGATGGATAAGCCTGTTTGTTGGTCACCTCGGAGTGATGTTGTGGAGTGATAAGGTTGTTGGAGTATGTTGGGTTGAGTTGGGGGAGGAGAGCAGTGGATGTGTGGACTGCGTAAACTCAAATGATCAACCATGGCGACTGACCACCCCCTTCGACTGCCACAGCTTCCATCCACACTTCAACAGCAGACACCCCACCACCTCATCCTCCGACCCGCCAAATGTTCTCATCTCCATCTGCTGTTCGCTCCCCAAGACCAAACAGCACACCGGGGACTCAGCCACAGACTCACTTCAATCTTCAACCCTCACCCTCCTTCATCAGCCCCTCCTCACCTACACTCCTTCCACCTCCAATCCCAGACCCTAACTATCCTCCTCCGATCGATAATAGGCCGGTTCAGGTCATCCTGGTGGTCTATGACCTGGTGAGTTAAGGCCTTCTTTTTTTTTTTGCTCGTGAAGTATTTCACTAATTATCGTGTTTGGTATTTATGTATATGCAGCTTCCATCTGGAAAGTTATCAGACTTGGCTTGGCTCTTGGGAGTAGGATTGTACCATACAGCAGTCAAGATACCCGCCATCGGCAGAGAGATTGCCTTTGGGGGACATGCGCATCCGCAAACCTCGGGGATCTTCATGCTGCCGATCCGAGAGGATGGCGAGCCGAGCATGCCCGGACTGAGGTGGATATGCGAGATCGACATGGGATTCGTCAAGACCGGCGACCAGTTCAGCACCGTCGACCATCCACTCCGATCTCAGCTCTCCTTCGCCTCCTCCCTCAACTTCGCCTCTGCCGAGGATGAGGAATCTAGAAGACTCATCCGGCCGCCCCCCTCGGCCGCTAAACTGATCAACAAGTACCACTCCCCTGGATCGCCTCACCATTCCGCCTACCCGCCAACCTCGATGCCGGAACTCCCAAGCAGCCCGATCCATCCTATCGACCAACACTATCGCTCATATGCCTCATCCTCAACCAGCTCAGATTCCCACAAATCCTCCTCCCCTCCTGCTCCCGCTCCACCTCTTCCCGCCAGTGCTTATACTCCCACCACCACCAATCCTAAACCTGCTGCTCCTTCTTCCGCATTGACGCAAATCGAGACTCTCGCGTTGATCTTGGACCAGTTGGAGCACTCTCCCGATTGGCATGGCACGTCCTACGACCTTCTCAAGAGGAATTGTAACACTTTCAGCGACCAACTCTGCATCCTTCTGACCGGCAAAGGCGCACCTAAATGGATCAATCGGGCGGCTGCCGTCGGCTCTTCTTTCCCCTGTTTGGTTCCTGCAGAGTACGTCATATACACACACATATATATCCTCTTTTGTACGCTCCCCTTCTGTATGGTTCTCCTTGCTCATGTTTTTTTTCTTTTTCGTTTGCTGCCAAAAACAAAACCCAACCATGTGCGTTCAAAGATGGATCGATCCACCGATCGCACCTCCTCCGACCGACGAGTTTGGAAACTATGAGGAAGAAGAGGAAGAGGAAGAGGAAGAACGAATTGCTCGGCAAGCTCCCGGATACACATCCACGAGGACACGAGGCGCGACGATCCCATCACCTACCTTGTAGGCCTCGTCTCCCCCATCACGCACCCCGACGTCCACCATCGTGTTTAAAATATATATAACTCGATCGATGGTCGTGTTGTGTATCTTGTCGATCCAGTGTTTTTTTTTTTTTGGAACATTGTTCTCAATCGGTTGGCCCGGCTCGATAGATATATATTTGCAAGACATCTGGCTGTTCTGCGCTTTCCGAGAAAACCCCCCTTTAGAAGAAGATAATACCGATAGATCTCATCATCATCATCCATTTATTTATACACTTCATCCGTCTTTTTCAGGCATCATCATCAGTCCAATAAGTCATATATGAGAACAACATCCACCCTTCATCGAGTTGAATAGACCTTAATTGCATCATTTTTTTTCTTTTTTCTTTTTTTTTTCCGCTTCATTTATTTCAGTTAATTGGTTTTTTTTTTTGGATTGTGTCGTTCTTTATGGTCAGGACTTGGTTTGTTCTTTCTGGCCTCCCATCGTCTTTTCCTTTCATGTGTATACATATATATCCACACCACCATTACCACCACCACTACCCTCATTCCTTCTTTCTCTCTCTCTCTCTCTCTTTCAATAATAATCAACCAAATCAATAGATTTCCAACAGGGCTTTTTTTTCTCAATTTATGTTTGTACAAACACGTTAAGATACCCTTTGAATGTAGTGTAGTTGTGGGTTTCTTTTCTTCCATAGTCGTTGTTTATCTGAGATTTATATAAGATGTAAATGAGTACATACACATACACTGATATTATATAGACATAGAGAGTACAGATTGGACGTTCATTTTTTTTGTTTGTTTGTTGAATATCATCATTCTCTTCTAATTTACCATCATTTCCCCTTTTTTTTTCTGGTCTGTGTGGTTTAAATATCCATCAAGGTGTTAGGGGGGAGCGGTCAGTGCAGTGTCGATCTTGAGCAGGACAGGGTTTTTCTAATCAACCTTTGTGGCTCATCAGCATCTATCTATTTACATATTGAGAGTTCCACTCATGAAGGAATCATGCCTTTTTTTTCTAAACTTCAAATTCAATTGTACATTCATCACTCAAATAAACACACACAGTTGATTGATTTTGTTTTGGTGAGGATCACAAGTCATCCATCACCTGATCCGCAACCTTTGGCTAAATACACTTGACTGATCAAGAGTGAGCAACAATCCAGACTTTTTGCCACAATTTGTCCACTGGACAATGCCGTTGCATTAATTCCATGTAACATCAAATCATTTCTGTCAGGAGCCTTCAACCCAGTGGTTTTGTTCTCATCTCTGGCTAGAATCCATACCCCTTTCCCTGCCCGTTTTTGTGTTTTTTTTGCCCCCAAAAATCATCTGTTTTTGGGACTGTTGTCAAGCTGCAAACCTGGGGTAGCAGGGGAAGCAGAGAAACCATCAAGGAGACACATCGATGAGCTTGTACTTGAAGCAGGCTCATGACTGTGTTTTTTTTTTCTTTCTTGTCTACAGATGCAAGGTGATAATGAACAATGAAGCAGGGAAATGTGATGCAGAGAAGGAGCTAAAAGATAGGGATATTATACAAGAGTGATGGCTATTCGGGATCGGAATCAAAGCCAGGATGTTCATGAGGGTCGCAAAGAGCATCTAGCATGCGATCGACCGCCTTGCGATATTGAGATTGTAAATCGAGAAACCAAGGCTTGAAGTGATTTCGGATAGGTGGAATATGCTCATCAACTGGGACAGGAAGAGGAATGAGATAGAAGGAGAGAAGAAGTAGGTTGGATTCAAGAAGCTTGGGGATCTGGATGAGTGGAGTTGACAGGCGATTCCCGCTCATATCAATCCGCCTGTTCTGCTTCTCAAGTTCCACCAAGCAGATCACAAGGGTTTCAAGAAGTTGGGCAATCCTTGACGGACCTTCACTCAACTGCTTCAAAGACTCTGAGTCGATCTCTGGATCTAATCTGAAGATCGCTTTCTTGGGAGTCGTATTGGATATTTTATTCAAAAAAATTCGTGTCAGTTTGAGGATTGGGATTGTCAATCTAGCAACTTGAGCAATGTGTTCTCTGGGGGTCCAGCTAATTCGTCTCTCTGGCCCATTGATTGCCGTCCCTTCGATCCTGGGACTCACCGCCAGCTTCGTTAGATCTTCCAATGCGCCATTGATCGAGTCTTGAGCTTCCAGCCATTCCTCTTGTAGAATGGCCAAGTCGGTTTGTTGGAGCGATTCGATTGTCTGATCGATCAAGCGGCATGACCTATTGGCAAACATGTGTGTTTGCTCGACCCATTCGGACATCTCCTTCGGATACTCCAAGTTCTCCGGATGCTTGCGTGACAGCTCCCAGAAACGCATCGATTCCGCACCGCTTTCGAACAGTCGACAGAGGTTGTGGATGATGATCATCCGAACTTTCCGGTGCAATCGCAGAGATCTGAAGTCTTTACATCGTCCCAAGTTCCGCTCATGGGTGAATCTTCCTTCGAACGGAGCAGAAACAGACTCGACAGCAGCCGTTGTCCTCCACAGGGTTTCATCAATCTTTGCTGTGGCTTCGGACACCAGATCAAGATTGGGCTTTGGTTGGCTGCCTGAATCTTGCAAGCCGATAGAGAGCAAGAGAGAAGCGATGCAGTCTTTGATCGAAGGCAGAAGGCTCGACTGCAGTTGATCTATCAGTTCGTTCCTCTCCACCAGTTCATCGACCATCTCATCATTCGCAGATGGCCGGAAGATTGCCCCCAGGGCATTGCTAAACAGGTAACCCATTTGACCAAGCGTAAAGCCAACTTCATCTATATATATATTATTTGGGATTGAAGAGGTTTCATTTCATCAGTTGCCTATCATAATCTGATGTTCTGATTCTTGGAAATAAATTAGTCCTACAAAATCGTGGAATTTGACTGACCTATTCTAGTTGACTCTGGGTTCAAGACATACTCTCGAAGCAGATCATACATCAACATAATTAATATATAATGAACTTCGTTGAACTTCTCCCAAGCTGAGACCCTGTGATGATGTGTGCTCAATTTGACCAGGCTTCACGCTCCGCAACCTGGCTATGTCCCAACCTTAACACAAGTCCCTCTGGTGGGGGGCTTGCTGGTGTAACTGGCTGTGCCCCCTCCCGCAGGGAGGGACTTCGATAAAACACTTTCCCTGGTGTGAGGCAGAAGCAGTTTTGGTGGTGTCGGCCTTGTTTGCCCCACCACTCATTCATTACAACTCAAATTTATTTTTAGTTCATGGGGATGAAAGATCTAGTACATAATCCAGATTTTTATGTATTTTTTTTTGTTGCAAAAACCAGTTTAGTTCTGGTAGAAACTGTTGAAACTATGACCGATTAACTGGGAGGATTTTTTGGAGAATTTATGGACAACAAAATTTGTTTGTTGGAACAGCTCAAGGTGGCGAGAAATGAAGGATATAGAGCTGATGGGGTTAATTTCTAATAACTAGCCATGGTTAAATAGACTAAGTACAAGATGCTCAAAAAGTGGTTGTGGAGAAATGAATAAAGAAACAATAATGAATAAAAAACAGACTGAGAGGAAATTAAATTCAGTGTTGATGAATCATGAGAGAGACATTATTTATTTTATGATAACTGCATGAAACAAACAAGAATACATAATTGTGCTTAGTAGAAACTTACCTTAGGAAAACAGGCTATACCAGTCAAGGAGGACCCTTATTTAAAATTGAGCTATTAAATCATTGTTTGCAACCTAGTTACTACCTTGTGAAGAGAGCTAGGAATATTTAAGATGAGGCCTTGAGATGTGAATGAGTTCTCTTTCTCCTCTTCTGCCGTGTTAAACAGTTACAGAATCTTAATGTTTTTATTCTCCCTTTTGTTTCTTTTATTCTCTTTTACTTTTTCATTCTGTCTTTTGTTTTTTTATTCAATTCTTCCTTTTTTTTCTTTTGAATGAAGGCTTTTTTATTATTATTCACTTTGAACCCTTTTTTCTCTTTTATAATCCCTTTTATTGTTTCCTGCCTTTATCCCTTGTTTTTTTCCTCTTTCTTTCCATCTATATTTTTTCAATGAATAATATCATTTTTCATTGATATGGTTCCTTTGGGGCTTTATCTCAGAGGTTGTAATTTTTTTTATCTTGGCAAGGGTGGTCACTGGTACATGACAACAACTCCCAAGACCCCCAAAGTTGATGGTTGTTTTAGATGGACAACTCCCAAGACCCCCAAAGGTAAGAGTTGTTTTAGGCAGACAACTCCCAAAATTTTGATAAAAATAGGGTCTTAGTTAAACAACTCCCAGAAATTGGAGTTCCTACTCAGGGTGTAAATGGGTCGGGTTGACCCAAAGCCGACCCAAGACCCGACGGGTCATGAGTCGGGTTTGGGCAGACTTAGTGGGAAAATCACATGACCCGAGCCCGACCTGGAAGCTTAGCGGGTCGGGTTCGGGCAGGTAATGTTTTGTCATAGTTGCTCTACAAAGGCTAAAACACTCAGGTTGGCCCAAACCCAACATGCAAACTGCCGACCCAAACCCAAAAAGTCCCAAGACGGGTGCGGGTCTGGGCAGCATATATTCAAGTTTGACCCAACCCAACATAGGTGTTGGGTTGGGTTCGGGAACTGTTTTTGGGCCCAAACCCGACCCATTTACATCCTGAGTTGCTACTCCAAAATATCTAAGACTTCAAGAAGACCATCTGCGGACGCTCCTCAAGACGTCCTTGGGAATTGGACCTCCAAAACCTTCAAAAGGTTTGGGAGTCGTTCCCCTAATAAAAAATATAAAAACCCCCCAGGGGTTTCTGGGAGTCAATCCTCCAGAAACCCCAGGGGGTTGGGAGCCGGCTCCCTGAAAGATGCCCCAACAGCCAAGAGGAATTCCTCTTGGCTGCTGAGAGTGTACAACTCTTGCCGACCAAGAGGGATTCCTCTTGGTTGCTGAGAGTGTTTGACTCACGCTGGCTGAGAGGGATTCCTCTTGGCCGCTGAGAGTGTACGGCTCAGACCAATAGAGAGGAATCCCTCTTGGCCCCTGAGAGTGTACTGCTCTCTGCAACCAAGAGGAATCCCTCGCAGTTGCTGAGAGTGTACAACTCTCAACGACTGAGAGGAATCCAGGAATTCCTCTTGGTCGCAGAGAGTTGTACACTCTTAGCGGCCAAGAGGGATTCCTCTTGGTCACAGAGAGCTGTACACTCTCAGCGTCCAAGAGGAATCCCTCTCAGTCACAGAGAGTGTATGACTCTCACCGGCTGAGAGAAATCCCTCTTGGCCATTGAGAGCATACACTCTGAGTGGCCAAGAGGGATTCCTCTTGGCCATGAGTTCTCTTTATTTATTTTTTTATTTAATTTCAATTTTTTTGTTAGGGGAGCAACTCCCAAACCTTTTGAAGGTTTTGGAGTTCCTGCTCCCAATTTTGGGGAACTTGGACGTCCTGAAGACCGTCTGCAGACAGTCCTCTCAACGTCCCAGAAATTTGGGTGTTGGAACCCCAATTTCTGGGAGTTGTTTGAAACTACAAACAATACCAGTTTTGCCCCAGGAAAAAATGGCAATTTGGGTGGTGGAAAATAGATCAATTTCCCTGAGGCTTTTTACAAAATGACTCAGGGAGAAAAATTAGGCTAAAATGAGCTATTTTAGCCCAGAAATAAAAATGCCTCAAACATTCCAAAATTGATTTTTAGCTCATTTGAGGGATTTTGATTTTTTTGGTTAAAATAGCTCATTTTAGCCTAATTTTTACTCCTGAGTCATTTTGTAAAAAAGCCTCAAGCAAATTGGTCTATTTTCCACCACCCAAATGGCAATTTTTTCCTGGGGCAAAACTGGTATTGTTTGTAGTGTAACTAAGACCCTAAAAATATCATAAAAATATATTGGCAAATTGGAGTGACAACTCCCACACTTGGCCTCCATATGAGACAAACAAATCCTGTGGACTGTCTGCCAATGGTTGGTGGGAGTTGTTGACTGATTTTTAGGAGTCGTTTTTCTAAGCCCCTGAATTTAACCTGTGTGCAGTGTGAGCCATTTTATTGTTTGAAAGTAACACACACACACAGCCATGCAGCTCAACCCTTTTTTAGCACATTAACTTGCATGTCTCCATTCAGGACCTCTCAAACAACATGACTGGAGGACTTACCATCGGATCTGGGACCCTCACAGAAGTTGATCTAGACCCAAAATCTCTTAATTCTTGCAGAGAAATTTGAATTTCAAGGCTATAAACCAGCTCTGGGAGACCCGCAGATGTTGACGGGAAGTTGTCCACTAAAACTCAAAAGACTCTTGTATTGGATGTGGGTTTGAAATAGACCTGTTGAGCAGTACCCATCTTGGTGCTGAAAACTAGATTACACATACTGAATTGATAATGGGGCACTTCAATTTCACCAACTTGCATGCCACCTGATAGATACAAGTGAATCAAGCCCAGGTTACTTAACTTGAATGTGACCTGAACTCAATCATTTCTGGCTTGTTACCTGTTACAAGGGATATTTTGTTTGAGGTTGATCACGTATAGCTATTTAGACATGAAAGCAGTAGGAAGATGGGAGATAATTCATAATAAAACATCATCACAAACTTTGAAGGGATGGGTGATCCAAGCCCAAGCCAAACTTGATACATAATTAGAAACTTGAGATTCTGGCTATGTTGAGACCATCAATGGGCTGCTATGCTCCAATGTTTGCCCAAAAAGTAGTGGTGCAGCAGTTTTTTTGCACACATAGTAGTGTTAGAAAAATGTTAGTGGTTTTTTGCTACACTACAGGACACTAACAACCGCTACAGCACCAAAATGCCACACCAGTGCAATAGAACAGCATAGCAGACACTTTTTGGGGACCTGCATGCATAGTGTTAGCACAGACACAGCAGAATTCCACTATGCTACAATGAATTATAGCAGAATTCCGATGCATTATGCTACACTAACACTACCATTAGTGTGACTGGCCCACCCTTGGTGAGACTGATTTACCATAAAGTATCACAATTTGGCTTCATCTCCAAGATGTTTATAATTGTTTGTGTTTATAATTGTTTGTGTATGTTAGAGTCATCTCCTCACAACAGATGTCTCTATTACCTTGGATATCGAAGGGGACTTACAGGAGTAAGTTGGGAGATAACTTGCTCTGAATCACTTACACAAGACATTCCCAATTTGGATCTGAATGGGGAAGATAGAATGGATTACACGAGAGACGTTGACGCTGGTGCGTTCATAACAGCCACTGAGAGAGTTGAATTCAAATTTTGTATTTCTTCTCCATTTGGGAATGGAAGTCGGATTTATCGTGACTTGATCCTTCAGCCCCGACTGCGATATCTGGAGAAAAATCAAAGCCACGCACAAACAGTCAATACAGTCAATTTCAGGTGTGGAGATGAAACAAAAAAGTGAAGAGGGTATGAGGACATACTGGGTAGAAACGCATTTGATTCATCGATCAATTCGTCCCGCCCCATCAGGATATCGAGATGAAGGTTTGACGGCTTCAATTGTCCGGGCAGAGTGGTTGTCTTCAAACGTTTGTTTCCACCAGCGTGTTGTCATGCATATCAATGATAGTAAGCGTATGAGACAAGAAGTTAAGTGATTGATTGGTAAGTAAATTTGAAGTTATTTCCCGCTCTGGCGATAGTGAATCAGCCAAGCATAGGCTTACACTTCGTTTAATCAAATCCCTTTCCATCATTTGACGAAGCGGAAAGGCAGCACCATATAAATCCTTTTGGATCGTAAATTTGAATTTTTCTTGAGTGCTTTCCCACTTCAGGTATGGATCGAGGAAGCATTGAATGGAGTTCAACAGAAATAAATCAGATTGCAGATCAAGTTAAATTGGATTTTCCCAGTAAACAACGGACATCCATCCTTTCTTGCGGTAATTTTTGAAGAATTGAAATGATAGGGTGTTACGCGATGGACTAACGTTTTCTAATCGGTTTTGTAAGGGATGACGGGGAGCGAGTTTGGCGGATCCAGTAGCGAGACCATTGGTGTGAACGTCGGTCGAGATATTCGAAGGTGTTGCATGGTTGGGCGGAACGATTGCGTACGAGTTCTGGGGCAAAATATCACAGCAGATTACGTCAGACTTAAACCCTTCGAGTTTCATTCAGCCTTTCTCGAACTAATGGCGATGCTTACCATCTTGAAGAGGGTTGATTGATGGATTTGTGAAGTTGTACTTTCGTAATTTTTGGATGGATCGGAATGAGATGACGTGTGTGGATGGGTGAGTAGTTGGTGCTGGTGATTGTGCTGTGAAAGGTAGGTGTGAGCCTGAAATCGGTCGCCTTGGCTCAAGCCCCTCCTACCGCCGTCAGGCCCCCTTGGAGGCCGACCTTATCAATGGTGGTCATTTCGAGGCAAGGAAAGACATCGACAAAGATTGAAACCGCGATGTCTGATTCGGAAGCGATGTCTGATTCGGGAAGCGACTCAAGGTCAAAGATAGGTGAGCCAAATCTCAACATCCAACGCACTAATAGTTCAAACCAGGACATCAAGCAACAAACTGATGAAACTTTTTCAATCCTGAATTAGATAAAGTCGGCTGGCAGCTTGGCCATATGAGCTATCAGTATGGTTGGGCACTGGGTCAAATATTCCGGACCGATGCAAATGATAAGATGGTTGATGAACTGATCGAGAGGAACGAACTGATAGATCAACTGGAATCAAGCCTTCTACCTTCAATCAAAGACCATATCAATTCTCTCTTGCTCGCACTCGACCTGCAAAACTCGGGGAAGCAGCTCACCTCAAACCTCGATTTAATTTCAGAAATCACACGCAAGATCGATGACACCCTGATGGAAACAACCGATGCTGTCGAGTCCGTTTCTGCTCCTTTCGAAGACCAATTCACCAATGCGCGGAATTTAGGTAGATGTAAAGAAGTTAGATGTCGTCGATTGCACACAAAAGTCCGAAACATTATCATCCAACCCCTCTGTTCACTATTCGAAAGCGGTGCGGAATTTATGCGATTCTGGGAACTCTCGCGTAAGGATCCAGAAAGCTTGGAATATCGAAAGAAAATGTCCGAGTGGATGGAAGAAGCACAGAGGGCTTCAGATATCTCCTATCGCTTAATCGATCAAACGATCGAATGGTCCAGAAAATCCGACTTGGTTCTTCTACAAGAGATATGGTTAGAGGCAGAGGAATCGATTAACCATACACTGGAAGATTTAACAGGACTCGCCGATCCCATGATTGACTTCGAACACGAGCAGATTGCAATCGATGAGCCAGAGAGGACAAGAACCCCGAGAGAACATAGTATCGATGTTGCTAGATTGACTATACCGATCATCAAATTAACAAGAATCTTTTTTAATAAAATAATAAGTACGACTACCAAGAAACCATTGTTCACACTAGATCCGGGGATCGATTCGGAGTCTCTCGAGCAATTAATTAAATGTCCCTCCAAAATTGTTAGGTGTTTTCAAGACCTTGCGCGCTACTTGGAGACATATACCGAGGAAGATACCCTTGATGGCCATCGATATTCGAATCCATTCGTCATACTCCACAAACTTCTCGATTCCACTCTACTACTTCTCTCTTTCCATCTCGTTCCTTTACCTCCTCCAGTTGAGGGTCATTCTCTACGCCAGAATCATTTCAAGGCTTGGTTTCTTGATTTCCAATCTCAATATCATAGGGCAACGGATCGCATGCTAGATGTTCTTTATGATTCTGATCCTCTTGAGTTTAATTCTGATCTCGATTCTCATTCTAATTCTAATTCTGATTCTGATTCTGAATAGCCATCAAGTTGTTGCCACACTACCCCAGATCAGCACGGATATCACGACGCTTTATGCCGTTCTAGGTTTTACATTCCCCTAGTTGCAGCAGACGATCCGCAAAAGTTCCTAAACCTGCTTGGAATAGTTCAGGTTGGCCGGGATACAGCTGCGACCTATCGGGTTCTGGGTTGGGTTTGAGCACCCTTCAGGCCTGAAAATAAGAATCAATCCTAGCCCATTGAGACTCAATGAAAAATTTGGGTTGGGTTGGGGCAGGTATTTTTCCATTTGGGTTGGCCCATGAGCTTGACTCCGGGCTGATTACGGTGAGCTTTGGAGTTCTAAATGCAAGGAAAATTGTGGCAATTAATCCCCTCCTCAAAGTGGAAATTAACATGTATGCTTGAGACATCCCATATAAAAGTCCCTCATTTATCCCAGCTTGACCTTAACCAGAAAACAGTACTGGGTTTCCTGATCAGTCGATATTAGCTTCTGTCTTCATCAGCACAGGAACCTGGTTAAAGAGAGACAGCTGGATGCCAGGCAACCCGTGCAACAATTGCTGAAACCCAAATGTCCAATCACAAGCTGGATGGCAGATATACAAGTCCCGAGCCTAACTAGGCCTCCACGGCGGGAGCGGGAGCGAGCAGCGGAGCTGTCCACGCCAGTGGAGGCCTAAGACAGATGCGGCAATCCCCGCGTGCTGAGTTTTCAAAATTAGGCTTGAAACCCAGTTTTCTGTGCATTTTTCTGCCTATGCTCTTCTTCTTCCACTGTTATCTAATTTACTTGTGGCCCAAGGAGGGTCCGCTTCTTGTACATTCTTCCCTCTGCTCACATTCTTGTGTCATGTTGTGAGTTTTGATGTAGTTATTTTTGAAAATGACAACTTTTCAACTGAAGTCGAGCTTTTTTGGCGTGTGCGAGTTCATCAAACCGCTTATGTCAGCGTAAAAGAAAGCTCAAATGCTGATTTGATAAAATCATTATTAATTGTTTTTGTGATTCTAAAACTTTGAAATTTTGCCTGATCAATAAGATCAGGCAGGTTTTTAAAAATCCGAGACCAAACATCAAAAAGGTTTTGAGGGAGCGTCAGGATTTCAAATCTTGTGACGCTCCCACCAAAACAATCGAAACTCAGCACCTGAGTTTGTTGACCTCTGGCCCAAGTCTCCCCTGCGGGGAGTTCCCTTCGGGAACCGCCTGGCCAGCGCTACGCTGCCAGATGCGCCCCCCGCAGCCTGAGACTTGCAATAAGTTCGTACAAGTCCAGAGAAACATACAATATTTTATCACTCCCAGAGAGTCCCTGTCTCATTATGCAAACTTATGACTTGACTGAGCTGCTTCCAAGTTCCAGCTGAGGAAATTGGGTTTGCCCAACCCTAACCTAGACCAAACTTAACACAAATCCCTTTGGTGGGAGGCTGGCTGGTTGTTTAAAATTATGGCAGAGAGAATGGGAAGATTAGCAAGCCAATAGCAGACAATGTCTAAAGTAAGTAACCTGTACCTTAGTTGAGGAGGCTTAAGTGTGTTGAGTTTTCACCTCTTTTGCCTACTCTTCCCCAAAATCACCTTCTCTCCCTTCTTTTTCTTTTCTCCTCACTTTAAATCAGACTGGATTAATACTGCCAAGTAGCCTGTTCTTAACTGTTTTCTGATTACTTTCTGAGTCAAATATGAACCTTGAATAAACTCAACTCAATTAGTCTTGTCTCTACGGTAATATGTACTCCTTTTTCTGACTTATTGTGTGTTTTTAAAGATTGGTTAATAAGAATTAACGCCTCTTGTTATTTGTGATTCAAAACATTTTTTCTTGACTAACTCATCTGACATAACTAAAAGAGAATGAGAAGTTATGCATAGTTTGTTACTTCCAAGAACTTGTTTTGTCTTCACTCAATTTTTATTCAAAATACTTTTTTTATTCATTCTTTCTCAAACCACATTTTGATCACTTGTAATCAGTCTACTTAAGCTAGCCTACCTAGAGTGAATAAAAAACATTGGTTCTCTAATTCTTTTTCCGTGAACCCTTCCCAAAAAAAGGTCTTTGAACTTTTTTGTGTAAAATCACTTTTTCTCCTGTCTTGAGTTCAAAAATTCAACAATGTGTCCTCACAATAAGACTTTGAGGAGGCTTCAGTGTCGCTCAAAGGAAAATTCAGGTCAGGAAAGATGATTTTTATTCATTGGGCTATTGTCTAGATGTGTTAAATAATGTAGATACATGAGGTTTAAGTTGTGGGTCTCAGAGCACTAACATAATGAATAAGAAAAGAAAACAAATAATGACTGGTGAAATGAGAGTGACAAGTGAATGAGAAGGAAGAGATGATTGTAGGACTTCCCGTTGGATCTGGGACCCTTGCAGTTTTTGATTTAGACCCGAAAAGTCTAGATTTTTGCAGGGAAACAACGGTGGGCCAGCTACGCTAACCGTAGCGTTAGCGTAGCGTAGTGTAGCGATTTTTCGCTACAATTTAGCGTAGTGTTAGCGCTTGTTTCTTTTTTTGCGCTAACACTACGCGCATGGGGCAAAAACATGCGCTTACGTTTAGCGTAGCGTTAGCGCGATTCCCCCCATCTGCGCTAACGCTACACGCACAGGCCGCCAAAAACTGCCCGCTACGCTGTGTTACGGCCGTTTTTAGCGGTTTTTTGCCGCTAAAAACGCTGTAGCGTAGCGGCGCCAGCGGCGCGCTAACACTACACCAAAAAAAGGTTAGTGTTAGCGCCGCTACAAATTAGCATAGCGCAGCGGCCGTAGCGGCGCGCTAACACTACACAAAAAAAAAAAATTGGCGCTGCTACGCTAACGCTACATGTGCCCGCAGCGTAGTGTAGCGTAGCGGCCCACCGCTGAGGGAAATCTAGCTTTTGCGACTCTAAATTGAAACTGGGAGACCCGCAGTTGTTGACAAGAAGTCATCCATTGACCAGCAAAATTTCAACACTGGTGTAACTGGCTGGGTGCAAAGCACCCCCCCCCCCCAGGAACTTGAAGGGACTTGAATATGAAAACACCTTTCTTGCATGAGCAGGATGCAAGGTTTTCGTGGTGGCAACCTTGTTTGCCCTACCACTCATTCACCATAAGTCAGATTTATTTTTGGTTATAGTAGACAAAAGATCTACCTAATCTTGATTTGTGTATATTTTTTATTGCAAAAACTTGTTTGACTCTAGCAGAAAACTTCCAAACAAGTTCATGATTTTGAACTTTGATTTGCAAATTTGGCAGCTTGAGCTCAATCTCCTAGTATAAGCATGTTTTGTGCCTGTAAATGAGAATTTCCATTTTTTAAGAAGATTGCAATGGAAATACAATTAAAAAGATACAGAAAAGATGCCACTCAAGAACAAGAAAAATAGTACAATGAAATTTTGAGAAGAATGACATGGAAACAACGGTGGGCTGCTACACTAACCACAGCGGTTAGTGTAGCGTAACACAGCGGAATTCACGTTAGCGTTAAGCGGCGTAGCGGAATTCCACCACAACACCACTACACCACAGGTCGCAAGCGACGTTGAGCCCGCATCACACGTTTCGTCGGCCTCACTCGTCTGACCCCGCCCAAAAAAATGGCAGGGCTGAGAGCGGGAGGTGTCGGATGCCGCTGTCAGCCCAACTTGTGATGTGGGCCTCTCGTCGGATCATGTCGTGGGCATAGGTGGGTGGGCATGACCGCGATGGCTTCTAACAAGAAGCAGACGTCAGCGGCCCCTTGTGGGTATAACGAGTTGCAAAGAAATTGAGAGGCCCGGCCTCCAGAAAAAGGGTTCTCCTCCCTTGCCTCGAACCTGCAACCTACGCCCATGCTGGTGCTGGGCATGCCTGATGGGATCATGCATCAACAAGGGGACGTTACTACCACTCTAAGAGATTGGTCTTCCCCCTGGTCACATTAACAGCTCTATTAACTACAATTCCATCAAATCTTCTTCAGAAATTTTGGATTTCTGTTGAAGACAAAGGTTTTTTTTTTTTTTACATTTTGAAACATAGGTAGCCCCTTTCTTGCATGGAAAGAGGCCCAGAAAACTTGTTTTTAAAAAAAAAAATTTAAAAGCCTATGCGAGTCATGCCAACGAAATCAAGCATGACATCATCCCCACCGACACGGAGCTGAAGCCCGACACACAGCCATCATTGGCTTCAGTTTGTGTTGGGCCGACCTTTGGATCACGGCAAATGATCCTGATGTCAAGACATCAGGATCATTCACGGTGATCCAAAGGTTGGCCCGACCTCAATTTTATGACAGCCCACAACCGCCGTCAGATCCAGGGAACACAGGTCATTGCCAACCCGCGCCAACCCAATCCCAACTGCGCTGTGGGCCTGTCGCGCAGGAATAAAAATTATCGACCTGTGGTGTAACGCTACGCGTGTGGGCCGCAGAAGAGGGCCCACTACACTGCGCTACAGCGCTTTTTAGCGGTTTTTGGCCGCTTTTTCCGCTAAAAGCGCTGTAGCGCAGCGTAGCGTAGCAAAAAACCGGTAAAAGTAAGCTAACACTACAGTTTTTTGGTGCAAAAGAAGCGCCGCTACGCTACGCTTTTTGGGCCAAAAGCGTAGCGCAGCGGCCCACCGCTGATGGAAACCAGATGTGAAAGTACAAAAACAGGCCTCATAATGCCATCTTGCTCAGGCCAACTTTGTGTTTTTATGCAGTGAGACTTGGCTGCTTCCCAGACCTATCTGCAGGCACTCTCACCACAAGAGACTTAGTGAAGCATGAGCCTACGCCCAGTTTTTAAAGTGATGTTGGAGTTGGGCACTATGGGTCAAATTTTTCCCTGACCCAACTGGAACTAAAATTTACCTTGAGGTTGATTGGGCAATTGTCTTTTTGGCCCAAACTTAATCAATCCCTTTACAACCCCAGAACAACAAAGGAGAAAATGAGATACCAACATCATTGGTATTTTTTGCCTAAAATAGGACATTTACATTTTAGCCTAATCTTTACTCCTGATCCATTTTGCAAAAAAGTGCCAAGAAATTGACCCATTTCCCCCACTCAAAGTGCTATTATTAAATAATCTATCCTTTGGTCAAAATAGGCTTTGTTTGTAGTGACAGTGACACCATTCAGCTGCTGGTTTGGGATAAATGGCTTTATCAGAAATGCCAATCATGAACCCCACTAATGCAAGTTGTTGCTTGATGTGGCAAGTTTACTATTTGGACACCCTCTACACAAACAGGGGACAATTGAAATTTCTCACTAAATGTGGGCATGATTGTGGAGAGCTCAGTGTAGGAGGGAGGTAAGAATACACCTTCCAATGCTGTTGGGCCTTTTTTGAAGTGCAGTTTGATTTGACATTAGCGGGGTTCATGATTGGAATTTTTAAGTTTTCAAAGCCAATTTTAAGGCCTTTATCAACCACATTTTAAAAAATTTATGAGTTGGATGTATTTGGGGGTTTCTGAACAATCCACACAACTTTTCAAATTAAAAAATGAGTATTGATACACACCTCAAAAAGAGCATTAAAATTCAATAAATTTCAATCATGAACCCTGCTATTGAGCACTATGGAAATTCAGGCTTCCGACGCTAATTAGCAGCCTTGGATTTACTGTTAGACTTCACTGAGCCCTAGGCACTGGCAGGTTTTTTGGTTAACCACATATGCTGCAGCTGACGCTCAATTCGGTCAATCTTCGAGACGAAAATCCGTGCCAGTGCCATGTTTAGTTAATTTCTGGGAAGAAGTTTGTTCTGACAATCTGCCAAAGCTCAAACAGTCCGCACTATTCTACTGGAGATTACCTAGACTCGATGAACCGGCTTTTTATTCGACCTTGGAAGTTGGAACCGATGGTAGTTTGGCGCTACTTTGGCACTTGAGCAATAGTGCGGTTGGTAAAATGGATAGCAGTTAAAGAAAGACAGAAAACCCCCATTTTAACCGGGCCGGCCAGGAAAAGGACTCAAAGAAGTAAAAGTCGTAAGCGATGTCGGATTCGGAAATATGTAAGCTCCAGATCAAAAGCTACCTCGGAACGCATACAACTAATCCAATCTTTTTGGATCTCAAGTAGATGATGTTACCTGGGAACTTGACGGGCTGGCTTGCCAATTTATGGATGCACTGCGGGCGGGGGCCACAGTGCGGCCAGCAGCTAATGATCTTATGATCGATGAACTGACTGGGAGGAACGAATTGATAGATGAGCTGGAATCGAGCCTTCTACCTGCAATCAAAGACCACATCAATTCTCTCTTGCTCGCACTCGACCTGCAAAACTCGGGCGAGCAACCAAACCCAGACCTCGATTTGATTTTAGAAATCGTACCCAAATTCCATGAGACCCTCACGAAAACCACAAGTTCCGTCGAGTCCGTTTCGGCCCCGTTCGAAGGAGTCTGCACCAATGAGCGCAATTTAGGACGATGTAAAGACTTCAGATCTCGTCTATTGCGCTCGGCAGTCGCATGTATCATAACAATGGATCTCTGTCCACTATTTTCGAGCTGTATTGACGTGATCGAAACCTGCCAGCTCTCACGCAAGCATCCGAAAAACTTGGAGCATCGAGCGAAGAGGTCCGAATGGATAAAAGAAACACGAGAGATGGCAAATGATACGATTAGTTACCTTGATAGCATAATCGAAACCTCCAAAAAAACTGACTTGGCGATCCTACAAGACAAATTTTGGTCCGAACGATGGGTCAATATTGCACTGAAAGAGCTAGCAGAACTCGTCGATCCCAACCGGATCGATTTGAAGCACGAAGGGGTTTCGATTGATGAGCTAAAGATCATAAGCACTCGGAGAGAACACATTCTTGAAGTTGCTAGATTGGCTATACCGATCGTCAAATTGACAAGAGTCTTCCTAGTCAAGATAAGGAATTCGGCTCCCGAAAAACCATCGTTTATTCTAGATCCAGAGATCGATTCGAACTCACTGCAGCTGTTAAGTGAAGCTCCAAACACAATTTCTGGGCGTCTTGCAAACCTTGCGAGCTTCTTGACGTCACTTTACAAGGAAGATTGGGGGTATGATCTCAATCGAAATCTGTTCTCAAATTCACTCCGCGAACTGCCCTTACTTCTCGATTCTATCTTGGTACTTCTGTGCCGTTATCTCATCCCTGTGCCGGCTGCAGTTGATCATCATTCATCATCCCAAAATGATTTCAAGGTCTGGTTTCTTGATTTACAATCTTTATACCTTAAAACGACTGAGCGTCTACTGAACGCCTTGCAATGCTCTTGTCATCCTTATGGCGAATAGTTTTCAAATTGGTGTTACATTGCCCTTCATTGGCTCATATCTCACAGTGCTTCATGTTGCTTTATGTTTTATATTGTCCTACTTGAGTTGTCTTTGTCATGAGTTGTCATGTTGAAGCAGATAGGAAGATAAGTCCAAGTTTGTTTCTGGATAATTAGCTTAAACTCAACTTTCCTTGAATGATCAATTGTCCCTATTGATACACATGATATATACGCGTTCTTCGGTGACTATAAGTCTTGAAACTATTCATTTTACATTTCGGGTTTGACCATAAGTCTTGAAGCAATTCATCCTGGTTGAAGGTCATATCGCGTCCTCAAGATCGCATAATCATGAAGGCCCATTGAACATGCGAAAGCTACAAATATCGTCGTCAAGATCGCTGTCTCTACGTATTGGATAAACACCGAGGCTGCTAGACTCGGCTAGAGCTATTAAGTGACCGAGTAAGGAACCGATAAGAGTAGTGACATTATCTATTCATCATCGACAATAAAAAAGGAGAGATCTACTGAGTGTTTGTATGACATGATTGGTTTGACGAGGAGAGGAAACAAATCAGGATTACCTCTACGGATCCGACGAGCGAAGACCAAACGCGAGCATGACGGCGGCCAGGACGAGGAGACATAACCTCCCTGTAGAGGGCTGTTCCAACTCAACAGTTTCGGTCGAACGCTCCCACAGGTTTTGCTACGACTTAACATGGTACATGGTGGATTTTCCATCAGTACTAGCCACCTATACTTCATGGATATCCTGCCACAGATCCAAGGAGAAGAGGGGACTGCTCGCCGAGTCCGGAAATTTCTTTGCCAACTGCCTTGGACCCGACGTTTTGATCCTAAACCTGGGCACAGCAATCGCGAGTTGGTCTCTTTCCTTCTTGCCTGGTCCAACGCCAGCCCATGGAGCTCGAGTGTATTCAAGTGAGGCAATCTCAGTCACCTAGCCGGCCACAGCTGCCTTGAAAGCATCTAGAGCGTTCATCGACAAGTGCTGCGTTCGTTAGGACTGAGCGCGACGGGAGTGAGGCGGGCGGAGTGACATTTAATGTTGATTGGGGTACGGATGGGTTGTCCACGTGGGTATAGATGGAATGTGATCGGAGTTACAAAGTTGCACCGGTTGACTGAAAAGAGGAGTGGAGTTTCTTGTTGAGAAAGATAAGTTGAGCAAATGTTGTATTGGAGCCGACAGCACAATCGGAGAAGTGGGTGGAGTGGAGATAACGCTGTAAAGGACGTCGAATAATTGGGCTGATCTCCGATCGATCACAAAGAAAGATGATTATCCGAAAGACAGATGACGATGCATACATTCCGTATTGTGGGTATACAAATTAAACAAGATCCTAAGTTGTTCTACAATTAAACAGTTGTACTGGACAGTAAGAATTCCCGCTTCCATAATTCTATTGACGCATTCTGCCCGACTCTGAGGGCAAAGGTATATTTATTTTCAAATGACATTGGGGTCGAATCGATCGCTCTGAATATATTTTGACGCTTTTCGCCATTCTGCTGACCTGGGGAAGTTGAAGAAGAATGAAGATTGATGGCTGGCCCAGATAATTTCGGGGTGTCTTCAAGCGAGGAGAGTGTGAATTCAGCGATTCCCTTAGGATGGTTCCCAATTAGAATAGCCAGATCAAGTTTGCTGCTGCCTTCGACTTGAGTCTGGGTCAGACACATCCCAAGCCCCCATTCTATACTTTCTTCTTCCTGATCTAAGCCTGGCTTGCGAACCTTGAAAGACGAGTACATGTCGAAATCAACTCCGCCGATATTGGCTTCAGCGTCTTGGGTCATAGTGGGACCGCTTTTACCTAGGAACACATCTTCAAGAATGCTAGGTTGCCAGATACAGACCCTTGTTGCTGGTTCAAGATCTTCTTCAAACGCGTATGCGGCGAGAGGGTGGCGACTACCCTTAGCAATAATGGAGGATTTGCTAACGAGAATGGGAGTGAGCCGGCCAGCCCACATGATTTGATCAACCCAATGAGAATGGAGATGCTTGCTATTGAAGATGGGTAGAGATGTGATTGGTGCTGATGACAAGTTGACGGGATCGCTTTGGTCGACAGTTTGGAGACTTTCAGGTAGTCGATCATCTTGAAGTGGCGAATTTCTGGGAAAGCCGGGCAACTGTGATAAGTACCAAATCTTGACGTGATTGTCCATTCCGCCCGTTGCTAGAAGAGGATGGATTGGATGCCAAGCCTGAAACGTTGTGAAAGCGCATTAACTATCTAGTTGCAAGAGATCATGCACACAGAATAAGAACTTACAACAGAGCATACAGGAGCAGTATGGCCGCCGGCCCCAGCCAAAATCGTCACAAGCTGACCAGGTGGATTGTCCCAATTTGACAGCAAAGCTTGTGATTCGGTACCTGGCCTAATGTGTGCAGGCTTCAGAGGCAAAGCGGTATTCCAGATTCGGATTGTATGATCGATCGAAGCGGACGCAAGCACGTGAGGATGGGTGGGGGAGAATGACAAGGCAAATATTGTCTAGAAGATTGAAAGAAACATCACGTGATAAAAGAGATCAGTGAATTTTTTTTTTGTGAATGTATTCAAACAGACCAACTCACTCCTCCATGTCCATAAAACATACCCAATTCGGTAGCCGTACGTGCATCAAACAATTTAATAACTCCCCTAACGCCACCAGCTGCCAGAATGGGCTGGAGAGAGACAGGATCAATGGACCATGATATTGAATTGAAGATTTCCATCCGACCTCCCTGGTCATTTTTTTTCCAATTGTTTCACATATTCGAAATAAATTAAAATCAATAAGTTCATGGATGAAGCGCGTACGAAACTGGTTCTGTACTGACTGACTGTTAATGTGCTGGATTTGTCCACGATCTCGTAGAGAAGGTTACACTTTTCCTCAATCGGATCGAGCCTAATCACTTGAATCTGCTCTTCAAAGAATGAAAAATTAAAGCATTAGGAGATGCAACCGTATGTCCTAATTTAAATAAATGAATGCTGAAAACAGTAAAGACTTACCTTGTTCCCACCGCAAACAGCTGCGACTCCTCTCATATCCTCTAGGGCTGGAGTGATGTGACCAAATGGAAAAAACCTGACATCGTTCCACTAGAGGGGGGGAATATTTAGTTGAAGCGGCATTGTATAAGTATGGATGACGCGTACTACTGTGTCGTCCTTCGAAGTCTGTTGTGAGAGAAAGTCAGATGTTAGAAACAGTCTTATGGCGTAGGATCCCTTTAGTTCAGAAGATAGCAAACTCACATTCATCATCGGCATCAGTCCCACTGGATGCCATGCGTTGCCCGGCCCAGGTGTGTGTTCAACTGGAATCGACATTTCAGATCATCGATCTTTGCAGAGAACACACCACGAAGTGCGAGGAGGATCACGAGTACGACGCGTTGAGCCAGGTAGTCCCCCCCGTTTGTCTACCCCGCCTCCCGAGACCTTGCACCCCCGCCCCCGCTGGTTCGGGCCCCGTTGCTGTGAAGTTTTATAAATTTGAAGTGGTGGAAGCCAGGAGCAGTCGATCAAGCGGTCAACAGCGTCATCAACCAAGAGAAGAACAACAACAAGCACTAACACACGAAAGCTTAAGCCAAACCACTATCATCGAACCCACAGAGATGGTAAGCACTTAAAATCCAAACATACTCTAACTCTCGATTATGATTTGGAAAAATAAAGAAAATAGTTGCAGGCCAAGCTGATGTTGATTTCCCTTTGGCATCATTCCAATCAGCTAGTTCGTATCAGATCCCCCAACGGAACTCATCGTTATGAGGTCTCTCCTACAGATGACCTGGAAAAACTCATTGGGAAGGTAAAAAACTAATCCACTTTACCAATACACCGAAATCGTCTAGTCTTTTCAAACCCCAAGGATATAAATAACCAACCCATTCGAAAAAAATAGATAAATCAAACAAAGCCCTGACCAAGCCTTGGTACAATTTCGATCTAGATTATGATCGACTGTCCTGAAGCCGATCCTAGTACTCTGGCCTTGTCCAATCAGCCCCGAGGTGGCGAAAAGCTAGTTAATAATATTTCGGGATCATGTTCTCAGCTAGGCATCAAGTAAGTACAACTTCAGTTTTGAGCCTAGTCACATGGTAGCTGTTCTCCTGCTTCGGTCTCCTTGTTTTGTTCTATTGTAAAAAAAGGGTACCAGAAAATAACACAAATCTTATCGCTGGCGTAGACACGGTGATCTACTTTTCGCCTCTTACAAGTCTACAGGAGAAACAGGGCTCGCAGCTCAAGTTCCAGCTAGTAACGGTGCTGCAGATGGAGATCAACTTCCGGCATCATCAAGTCATGACCAGCACAAATCTAACAACCAAGCGTGGAAGAATGTCAAAGAACTCGAGATTGATCAGCTTTTAGAAAAGGAAGATGGCAAGATCCCTCGGAGTCGTGATGGAAAGTTTTGCAGACACGGAGACAAGAGCATGTGTGACTATTGTATGCCATTAGAGGTGAGGTTTTTCTTTTCTTTTTCAGTTTCATCCTCAATACGCCAAATACGATCGGCATCTGCAATCCAATTGATATTTCCTGTTTTTCGAAGCCCTATGATCCATCATTTCACACCGAGCGGGGAATCAAACATCTGTCCTTTCACTCCTTCCTTCGAAAACTGAACGCCGCAACTAACAAGCCAGAGACCGGTGCAAGCTACATCCCTCCGCTCGAGGAGCTCGATTACAAAGTCGTCATTCCATGTCCATCTGCTAGCCATGCCCCATTTCCTGCCGGGATTTGTAGTAAATGCCAACCGAGTGCCATTACGTTGCAACTGCAGCCATACCGGATGGTAGATCATGTCGAGTTCGCCACTCCAGCTTTGATCGAAAATATGCTGGTGTTTTGGAGAAAAACGGGATGTCAAAGATTCGGTTACATGCTGGGAAGATACGAGCGATACGACCAAGTTCCACTTGGGATAAAGGCCGTGGTCGAAGCCATTCACGAACCACCTCAACAAGGAGAACTGGATGGAATTCAGATCGGTTTACCATGGGATGATGAACGGAGAGTGGAAGAATTGGCTTCATTGTCTGGTTTACATGTCGTCGGAATGATCTATACAGACTTAACGCCGGATCATACCTCGGAGGAAGCCAAATCAGCTGGAAAAGTTATGTACAAGAGACACGCTCAGTCATTCTTCCTCTCTTCATTAGAAACGATCTTTGGAGCACATCAGCAAGCCAATCGACCAAACTCTTCTCGGTTTTCGGCTTCTGGAAAATTCTCGAGCAAATTTGTCACCTGTACCATTACCGGTAATCAGGAAGGTGGGATCGATGTCAGCGCATACCAAGCTAGCGACCAGGCTGTCGCCATGGTCAAAGCTGACATGATTGAAGCAAGTGTGGATCCTGGGACTGTGAGGTTGAAAGATGATGATCAGCAGGAAGGTCAATTATCAACTCGAGCAAGATACATACCCGATGTCTTCTACAGGTACAAGAACAAGTATGGTATTGACATCAAAGAGAATGCCAAACCATGCTTCCCGGTTGATTATTTGCTAGTTTCTGTAAGTGGTGTGAAATGTCTTGCATGCCTGGCCTTGTACAAGACGCTCGCGCTAAAATAACATCTGATACTTTCTCCAGTTAACTCACGGATTCCCAGATGCACCATCTCCACTATTTTGTACACCAACTCCATTTGCGATCGAGAATCGAGCAGGACTACATGACCAATCCATGGAAATGGTCACAAACAAAATCCGACCTGTCCTTCAAAACTTCACCAATTCACTTTCGAGTTCACAACCTTTCAATAGTGAGAAAGGAAAGGGTCGAGAACAAGATAATGACGACGACGACCATCTATCTAAACTACAGATATACTTCTGTGATTGGCATTTGCTCTCGTTTATTGATTCAATTGGAATCTTTGATCGGGTAAACATTTTGTTCTCCATCATGATCATTTTAACATAATATTTCGTGCTAACTAATTGGACTTCCTTTCTTATGAACTGTTTCAATAGTCGGACATCGTTCATTTGATTAACTTCGCACTTTGTCGTGATTCTGAAAGGCTTCATTCGACGGCTCAAGCATTATTTCAAACCAACTCATGGCAAACGTTGATAGCAATTGTGCAGGAATCAGGATCCAGTAAGCGCTTCGCTTCAAGCCTTTTATGCTGGGAAGATAGGGTGCCACGGATTGCTAATTCACATCTTTTCATTCAGATGCAGGACCCACAAATGGTGTCAATCAATCGTCGGCCGGAGAGTCGAGGGGTTCAGACCCGCATGAAGGAACTATCTCGTCGATTGAACATCCTAATGACTTTGATCACGGCGGCCCAGACGTCTCCATTGGATCTGACCAACTCAATTGCCCTCATTGTACTTTTTCGAATCCTGCTGGTACTGTTGATTGTTCTGTTTGTGGCTTACCATTATCTTAACTCCCCCCCCCCTTTCATCCCAAGTTTTTTCATCACCTTCTTCCCACATCAAAAACACACATTCTTGATCTTGTCCTTTCCTTCCCGTATAAATAAAAACAAAAAACGCCGTAATTATCACTTTAATCACACATTCCCACACGAAAATCAAAAACCAAAAAATCAAATCAGCTTAACCAAATAGCTCATCAATAAGTTCATCCAATGCTTCCCAAGAAAAGTTCATATTTTATAGATGATTTGGAATGCTTCTATGAAAAGAAAAAAAATCAACAGATATATAGAAATTGTTTGTATGTGATCTGTTCATTTGTTCATGATTTGTCAAGCTTACATGTTTATGCTACTTGCAATGGAGTTGTAATGCTACAGTGCATGGACGAGGATGTGACAATAATAAGTAGATATAAGGATAGTGGTGAGCTCAAATCACAGTTCAGGAAGATCAACTGTGGAGGCTTGCTCAAGCGCCTTGCAGCAGGGGCAGTCTAATCTTTCGAGTGGTGGGGAGTAGGGAGAGCTGAGCTGAATGAGCTATGTATATATAGTCACTGAATGTTAACGGGAATGAGAAGAACATGGGACAAATGTTATGATTTTTGGACCAGTATTCATTCTCGATTTTGAACGATGTGAGCATGTAGAACACTAGAAGGCGTTCAAGATGGGACAAAGACTTGGAGAGGTATATGAACCTCCAGCCAACGCTCATGATTAGGGAAAAGGAAAAGGAACTGGTTAAGGAACACTTGAAGTTATGAACTCGGTGAAGGTGAGGGCAACTGGAGAAATAATAAAATGGCCGGGAAGGAAAGATCGTGACATAATTCAGGGCCCGGCTCCGGCTGTGCGCGGGTTCGGTTGGCGCACTTGGGCGCGCAAATGGCCGCAGCCCGTGACGCCGTCAACCAACCGGGTGGAGGAGGGAGTCCTCAGCCGGAAAGACTCATCAACTCCGGACAGATTCTTGGAGCTGATACTGATAGGGCAGGAAACCAGGGGGGTAAGCCAGTGACCAGTTCTTTTTCTCACCCCCTGTCGACCTCGCGAGCCTTGCTTGGGCGGCGACGGCAGCTGCCGGCAGTCGACTCACCGCTTGCAGGCAGCTTATCCTAGCTTGCCCATTGAGTGAACCCGGCAGCTGGCAGGTTGAACATGGTATGTGAGCAGCCGGTAGGGTCATGTGCCATGCTGATGGGTGGACACCGGTCGAGTGTGATTGTCGTATCTTTTGGGTCGACGTTCTGAGGGAGCTCAAAGAGGTTCGAAGTGCCCTGCCAAGCCTTGCCCTGCCTTGCCCTGTCGGCCAGGATGTCAGAAACACCACGAAACAGGAAGAAGCTCGGCAGGGAAACTCGCCCCGCTCATTCTTGTTTTCAAACAAGCCCGTCGAATAATTGAAAGTGCAGCCGATGTGAAAGTTATGTAAGCCTTTTGCTGAACTCCCAGGACTTGCGGGACGATGCACGCCTCACACTCATGGCATGGACAGGCTTATCGAATCCGCTAGGCCACTGGCCGCATTGTTGCCCAACAATTATAAATAGGCATCCATAGGTGCCGGTGGAGTGATAAATCAATCGCCAGATATACCCTCACACCGAGGGCCTACATTGCTCATTTTCCTTTAATAAGAGGACTTTTTCAAACTTTCAAAATGGTAAGTCACAAGCAAGTACGCCAGAACCTCTTCATAGCAGCCTTCTTTTCGCTGTCTGCCTGGGCCCAGAGCAGTCCCCCAACGGGCGCGTTGATTGTGAGGCAGGGATCATCAACTAGCAGAGGAGAATTTTCGTAAGTCTTGTCAGGTCGCTCCGAAGGGTTGGGAGACTAATCAGAAATATCTTGCTTGTCCAATCATAGCACCATTTCTGCGGCTGTGGCCTCCTTGGCGAGACTAACTGGACCACAGACCATATTCATCTATCCCGGTATGTATTTTCCCATCCTTTTCCAACCACGAGCGGTGAAAGTTGTTTGCTAGTGATCACACATTGAGCTGGATAGGGCTGACCAACGGTGATATATTTGTATTGAATCTGTAAGGCACCTACACCGAGAAAGTTAAAATAACCTATCCTTATGTCAGTGAATATACTATATACGCTCTGCTTAAGGTGAACTAACGGCCCAATTTCGCTTGGAATTTACATTTATACATTTTTGCCGCTACATAGTCTCTAAGTGTGCAGGGGTACTCCGCCAATCCCACCTCTACGGCAAGCAATCAAGTGACCGTGAACGCGGCTGTTAGCGCAGCTCAGGCTGGTAGCAATTCTAACAGTGCAACAATCTGGGCTCACAGTTCGGGGTAATTTTTTGCTTATTCCTTTGGTTTCAATGTGATACTTCGCATTTGCTTATGAATTTTATCGCGCAATTTTCATCCGCTGCCTCGTGGATACGCGTCTTAACTTTTCCAGGATTCGCATCTCAAACCTGTCAGTTTAGTAGTTGTTGGCGTTAACTCAAGTTGCACAGGTCATTTTGCTTATCGCGTCTTCGAAACGATGTCATACATAACCTCTTCATGTTTTTGTACAAATTAGAAACATCATCAACTCTTTCGGAACAGGCAGAGATACTCAGGCGCTCGCCCTAGCTTCCACGGGGAACAGACAAGGTAAGTTGATCAGGCAAAGTATCTTTCTACCCCTGCCTTCAAGAATTGATTGAATCCAAACCATAGCAAACAGTATCACAAACACCAAGCTGATACGGGGTACAAACAATATTTCTATCCTTCACATTACCTTCCAAAAAACTCCCACTCTTCTTTCACAGTTTTTCAAATATTGCGCCTTCAGCAGCTTCCAGGATACCGTTGAAGTCCGAAGGAACCGCTTATTTCTACGGATCTCATATCGAAGGTGCAGTAGGTGGGTGCTCAGCTCTCCTTACAAGCCTAAATTATTTCGACATTTTGGGAAAGCAAGGAAACGTTCTTAATCAAACCAAATCTTACCCTTCTCAATGCACCAACCAATTCCTACCTTTCTCAATGCACCTTCTTCCGCTGGCCTGTTACGCTCTAGACTTCATATTTGGACCCGGCTCAGCTTGGTTTGAATCTGTCGTCTTGGGTGTGAAGTCCTCACCCACCCCTGTGTGAGTGTGATCTGCTTTTCCTAGTTTAGTTTCACATTGTTTACAGCAGTTCCGGGAGATCTTTCAAAGAGCCGAAATTGTACGGTGAGGCTGATCATGCAAATGGTTTGGATTCTGAATGAAGTATCACTGCGCAAAGAAACAGTCCAGGCGGTGGAACAGCCTTTGTATTCAACCACGCACAAATCGTCTCGGCCGGCGCTAAACCTGGTTCAGCCTACCTTGGTAGACCATGGTCCCCAGACGCCAGCGTGGTTTACCAATTCTGTTCCTTGAGTAATGTCATCAATCCGCAAGGGTGGAAAATTTGGTCTCCTAGTCAGCCGAACACTGACCGCGTGAATTTCCAAGAATTCCAAAACGTCGGTCCGGGTGCAAGCACAAGTGCTCGTCAAATTGGTACTCAAAGGTCAGCTCAGGTGAACATCGCAAGTATTTTAGGATCTGTGAGTACCCTTTCCATTTTATTCGAACACCTCTTGGTCCAATTCAATACCATCCCTAGACGAGTTTGATCTTTTGCCTTTGACGTTCAATCGCTGACTCAACCTCACGTGCTGCCTTTTCAAAATTTAGGATTACAGCACATGGGCACAATAGGTCCACGCCTGTGAAGGCGAGAATCTACCAATTAATTTCTAGTTCTCCTTGGTTTTCTGCACCACCTTCCCTTTTCTCTCTCGTTTTAAACAGCATTGTATTTAGCAGAAAGTTCCAGGAAGTGTTTTCCATATGTGTACTGCCAAGATCGAGACACCTCAAGTTCATGTCACCAACGTCCCGTGATGATGATCTAAATGTCACTCGTCTTTTTGGGAATTGATAATTTACAATCATTCTATCACAAAGTCTCAGCTCGTTTGGATTTGAATTTGGGTGCTCAGTTAGTGTCAAAAGGAAGCTATATCTCCCAGTTATGTGAAGCTACTGGTCAAAGAAATCGCGTCGGTAGACCACCAATCGCACCCCAAGGATTGATGACTCCGCAGTACTCCTACTCCATGCACGCCTGATGTCACCGCATTTAGTCAGGGGTCTCAACAGGCCACACCGACATAGGAATATCATACCGCGGACGAGCTCGAAGCGATTGTTTGTAAGGCTGCTTTCCAGGTTTCAATGAAAAAGCAATCTGCGGGTAATTTTTTATCGATGGAAATGATATTTTTTGACACGGCCAGGCAAGCCAATTTTTGATTTATATGTACAGCAAAACCATTAGGCCAAACACCCTACATGCCTTTGTTTTCGGCGTAATGTCAGCTGCGCTCAATGCGATACCATGATCAACTAGCTTATCTAGAAATATCAATTTTTCAACCATAAATATCTATGGTGCTTGCTTTTACGGTAAGCTAAACAGTATATCCCAGAGGCTCCACCGATCTATGCTTCCGACGAGTGTATTTGTCAGGTTCAAGACACGTATAGATAAGAAAAACGTTTCGATTAGTCATCACAAGACTCACAAGGTCTTTTTGAGTCAGGTCTCCGGGTCGGCGTGAATCCGCATGGGCCAAGCAGGTGAGAACTTCTATACCAAGAATTTGAGGCGTCGTTGTGGCCATATGAGTAGGAAGCGTACAAACCACCGGCCGCAATGCTGTTCTGCTTCACAAGTACACTGCCTCATTCAGAGCTATGCATACCTCGCTCGATTGCTTTGCATATTCAGTTGCTCTCTTGATTGCTTTCTCAGGCTCATGTGAGTGCGACGGCGTTAAAAGAGCTCGGCACATTATTGAGCTGGTAACTGGAGCTGCCAGTTGAAGCCATTGTTTGCGCTGTGCAGTACATGCTTGATCAAGCTTCACTACTTGTTCTATAACAGAACTCTGCCCCAAGTGTTGTTCTGGAAAGTCTATGTGCATCAATTCTTCAATCTCCCAGGATGATGCTACAAACTGGTCGTGCATGTCATTCCGCGAGAGGATAAAAAGGCCGCTCAAGGCCTGGGGTTGGCCGATGTTTTCCGCATCATCTGGCTGAGAAACAACTCGATTTAAATTGCAAATCATTCTTCAGAATAGCCTCTTTGAAATGTTTATCCACTCGCAGATACGAAATAACCTCCTGGCAGTCGCCCTCTTCTCGTTCTTTACCTGGGCCCAGAATAGTGTTCCTCCATCCGGCGCGTTGATTGTGAGGCAGGGAAAGGCAGGGAAGGGAGAATACGCGTAAGTGATGTGTAACTGACCAGACAGATAATCTGTGACGGCAAGCTAAATTCGGAAGATTTTCATCCTTATTCTCATAACGCCACTTAGCACTATTTCAGCCGCTGTAGCTGCTTTGAAGGGGCTCACCGGCCCAAAGACTATCTTCGTCTATCCTGGTCAGTCACAATTTCTGCCCGAAAACTTGCCCCTGCTTTTCAAGACAGAAACAGCGGAAATTGATGGGTTTTGTTTCGGATTTTGAAGGTACTTATTCCGAGCAAGTTAAACTAGTCTATGACTCTGTAAGTGAACTCGCCGGTACGGATCGTGCTCTCACAAAAATCTAGATGGCCGTTTAGAAACGATGCTGATGTGCATTGCGCTCCCTTATTTGAAACTCGGAACTTGCAAACATTAGCCATTGATTTTGCAAGGCTACACCACCGATCCCACATCCGCGACCAGCAATCAAGTGAATGTCCAGGTGGCTGTCAGTGCAGCGCAAGCCGGTAGCAATTCTAAAAGCGCGACGATTTGGGCTTACAGTGACGAGTTAGTTCTGAAGTTGAATTCACATGAATCCTCAGGACAGTCTATTAAAAGATACATTCTGCTCCGTTGATTTCCTCATATCATGACATTATTCTTGCAACTTCAAGCATCCGTATTTCAAACTTGTGAGTTTGGGGTTTGTTGTCGTTTAGAGTTCATTTGTACCCATGCCACTGACACCATCCTCAAACAACCTTTCAAACTAGCAACGTCATCAACTCATTTGGAACAGGTACTGATACTCAGGCGCTTGCTTTGGCATCTACGGGAAAAAGACAAGGTGGGTCGGACATTTCATTCATTATACAACATGGACCAAGACCATAAAAATGATGACTGATTGATAGTGAATAATATTTCCTCCATTGTGCACCAATCATTGTGAATCGCTCATGTCTTATTGATTAGCTTTCAAATATTGCACCTTCAGTAGCTTTCAGGATACTGTCGAAGTTGAAGGCCTATCTTATTTCTACGGGTGCCGTGTAGAAGGTGCAGTCGGTTAGTGATTTTTTGCTTGTTTTTTCTGACCCCTTTTCGATGGTAGAATATAAACAAGCCATCCTAATCCAACTATTCACTTGACTTGTTTTTGGGCCATATACAATCCAGATTTTATATTTGGTCCTGGGTCTGCTTGGTTTACCAATAGTATTTTGGCTGTCAAGGCTGCATCAAAACCTGTGTAAGTGTGTTCTAGTCTGTCAAACTTTAGGCACAACTTCCCAATTTTTTGCATTTTTCTGAGAAAGAAAACAACTGAATATACTTACCCCTACAATGGTTACGATACAATCTTTAAAAATCAAATGAAGTGTTACTGCTCAAAGGAATCGTGCGGGAGGGAAAACGTCCATCGTAATCGACAACTCACAATTCATTTCTGCTGGCGCTAAAGCAGGATCAACTTATCTGGGCAGACCGTGGTCTGAATACGCAAGTGTAGTGGTCCAATCATGTTCCCTAAGTGACATCATCAACCCAGCGGGTTGGAGTGCTTGGAGCCCTCCAAGCGATCCACGTACTTCCCACGTGTCATTTCAAGAATACAAAAACTCGGGACCTGGTGCAAACTCAAAGGCTCGTCAAATTGGTACTCAGCGGTCAAGCAAAGTAGAAATTGCCGAGGTTTTAGGATCTGTAAGTGTTTTTTGCTATATGTTTCTTCTCATCGTTAAATGTTATAGTATTGTTGACCCCCGTGCTTATGTACCTTGTCCTCCCAACTGATTTGGGAAAACTAGGATTACGGTGTCTGGGCCAATTGAGCTGAATGAGGGCTTTTCGCCTTTTTTTAATGTCATCCAGTCAACTTAATGAAGTAACTGCATATAATCCAGTCAACTCATTGAAGTAACTGTATATAATAGGCATGGATATTGTCCTGTAACAGGCACAATTTTCTTTTGGTTTAAGGTCTCTGTCTCTCCCTTCCACTGCAACTATCGTATAAATGGACATTGTTCCCAGTCGTTTTTCCGCTCATTTTCTCACAGAATGTACGTAATGATACTAAATATGTGCAATCGATATACTGCTAAAGGAGGATGTAAGGGCACATTTTTGTCCAGTGAGTCATGATCACCACTCATTTTACATGATCTTCATCAAAAGCTATCAGACTTATCAATGATGGTGTGGTCAAGTGATATTAGTAGTTGGATCAATCCATGGTTACATTCCTTTCAAGTTCTTCCAAAGGTTTTTTTGGCTCAGATTGATGCAAAATGTTATCAACAATGTCGGGCTGATCGAGTTAAACGGTCGCCAAATGAACATCAACCAGGAATCAGACCTGTTTGGAGCTTACTCTAAAGTGCAGTTGTATCAGACAGGGTGGAGGATTGATCTGGGCCCAATTTCTACAACAGCAATGAAGATGGAGTTGAAGAAAACCCTGAGAACCATCCAGCGCAGCTGGTGGTGAACCAGTAGATAACTGGGGATTTAACCATTTAAGACATCCTTTCATAACCGATGTTGTATGTCAAGCTAGGACTTCGAAATTCTTCACACTGGAGACGACATTATGATCAACAACTTTGAGGATGTGGGTCCCACGAAATCAAACAAGGAAGCTGGACCATAGTTACATCTGGATCAGCTGATGAGGACAGATCTGGACAGATAAGAAAAAGAAAACGCGAGACAAGTCATAAAGTGACTGGACCTGAAGGATGACCTGGTGCGATTTGGTTCAAGCTGTTGACAGGCAGCCGGCTCGTACAATTATCCGTGAAAAAGCAGTGTGCAAGCACAGAAGGAGAAGAGCGCTGGCGCACTGTAGCGGTGCCACACCTCTATGAACTGGTTTTAACTTTCACCACCCAACCACTCCTATGATATAGCAGCTAGAAGTATGTACAAGTCGGGCGCTACCGCCCACAAAAGCCAAGTCGCTTCATTTTTATTCCTATCTCTAGTTCATTCCTTACAGCCGTCTAGCATTTGTTCCATTTTGTTCCATTGGTCATATTGATATCTATAAAATGGCCTTCCTATTTCGCACTTCTTGGCCTCTGCCCCGGCCTGAACAATTTACGTAGCTGTCTTTTACCCTTCTTCGCCCAACCCCCAGTTGCCTGCTTCGATCCCGGTTCCAGTAGAATAAGCCGTTCTTCCTTCTTGTGCTCCTTCTCTACAATCGATGTGGGAGTGGTGCAGCTATTACAGTCGGAGATTTCCTTGGTCCTCAAGCTCGAGTTGCCTCACCTATCGTCCCACCGGGGATATAGAGATCTCCAGTTTTCCATCCACAAGTTGGTGCACTTTTTGATTGTCGTGCTCAAACTGAATGGCTCAAGAGGTACGGGTTTGCACCCCAGCATTTCACCGACCTCTATCAGTCAGTGGTGATTTGTAGCGCAATGGTTCATCGCTTCACCAGTTTTCCGGCTGCCAGAATGGCTGAGTGCGAAAGCTGAGTTCATATCACTTATGCTTACCATTACACAACATAGCAGGTCATACCATTATGGGTAGACAGTCAGGAGAGACCAACTTGACTGTGGTATTCAGCCATGTTGGTAGCCGGAAAACTAGTAAAGTGGTGTACCATTGCGCTACAAATTGCCACTGACTGATAGATGTCATTGAAGTGCTGGGGTGCAAACCCATACCTGTTGAACCATTCAGGTTGAGCACGTCAATCAAGACGTGCATCAACTTGGTACCAAATGGAACACTGGAGATCTTATGGATCGTACATGCCGGGTGGGACGTTAGGTGAGGCAACTCAAGTTCGGAGGTTGAGGAACATAAATCCTCAAGTGGAGCTGGTGGAGAGAGAGAGCACAAGAAGGGAAAACTTCTGGTGTCGGACTGCTATGTAGTTGAGGTAGTCAGACTTGATCCGATGAAATATGCACGAGGTACAGCGCTTGCAAAAATTATGGCTCCCCGTTCATTTCTTCGATGCTATCCGACCTATGAATCATTGGCGAGATTAATGGCAACTTTTCTTTTCCGCGATCTTGGGATTATGTAAATACCCGGGGTTCACTTGATTCTGATGATCCTCGGCCGATCAGTAGCATTTCAAACTTTAGAGTCCATCTTACCAAGCTCAGATAGCTTTCGGCGCTACATGCCCTTGCATATCTTTTCGACCAAGACTACATTGGCATTAATCCCAGTCCCATCTAGGCTCAGAACTCATAAAGGTGTGTGTATTAAAGCAACTGCGAGGACACCCAAGATGGTGGTTTCACGAGCTCGATAGACAAGCGTTTAAGTGGGTCTAGTGCGTGTTGGGTCAAATCAAGACAGACGCATGTAATCAGCTCCTTCACCCTTCATTATTGAAACAAATTAGTCGCCTCTATGACAGTTATGGTCGCAAAAAAAAGCCCTTCCTTGGTGCTAAAGTTAGAGCCTCGTGCGCAACAAGAGGTGTGTCGGTCAATTTCGCTGCGATGTTGGCAAACACAACGTGACAGTGACTGATTCACAGCTGGGTCTGGCTTATTTGAGCCTGATCGAATGAAGATCACCGGATCGGACTGAATCAGCAAGAGAGAGTCAGAGACTTTCAGCCGCCGATCGATCACAGCCCGGATTCTAAACAGACACTGAGAGAGAGAAATGCTTGGTTTCATGACGTCATCGGAGGTCACTCAGCCCTCAAATCTTCGTAGCCTAATGCACATTTTGCTGGTATTGCTGAATTTCGGACAAGTGGAGTTCTTGCTTGTCTTGCAGGCTGAAAGAACGCCACAAACCCATAATCCTCATGACCTCCCCTGACTCATGACCAGCTAGCCTCCTCAACAAATTTTCCCATCATCTCCTCACCCTCAATCCATCTGGCAACTAACTAAAACCCCTTCCGATTAACTCGCATCCCAACAAACCCCGAGGTTTGTCTCTGCAACGTAATAGTAAGATCACATTGAGAAAGAAACCGGGATGTCTCAAAAGACTTCCACTCCCTTGGGCATCCATCTGATTGCAGGCGGCACAGCCGGCTTTGCCGAAGTAGGTTCCCCTTCCTTAATAACTTGCCCAGTGAAAACAAAACTCATTACGGCGTTTCTTGAATTAGGCATGCGCGTGTCACCCTTTGGACACGATCAAGGTTCGGATGCAATTGAGTAGAAGCAAGCAGGTATTTCGCCTACTCCTGGAAATTTTCAAAATGAAGTTATCTGGAGATGTGACTATCGCTGACGCTCAAATTCTGTTTCATTCGACCAATAAATAGGGAAGAGGGAGAGGATTCATAAAGACAGGTATCATGATTGCTCAAAAGGAGAGTTTTTTAGGACTTTACAAAGGTTTAGGAGCTGTAATCTCTGGTAGGTTATGATTCCTTCAACTTTATGAATCCGTTAATCAATTTAAACATTAACAAAAAATGAAATTTGCAAATTACGCAGGTATCGTGCCTAAAATGTCCATCAGATTTGCTTCGTTTGAAACTTACAAAGGCTGGTTGGCTCATAAAGACAGCGGAAAAGTTTCTTCTAGCGCGATCTTTTTATGTAAGTAACTTTGATTTCGCTGGATTTCAGCTTTCCAAAAGGTCCGAGTTTTATATTCTAATTCTTTATTTACACGTTTGGTTCAATTGCGAGAAAAGCGGGTTTAGGAGCCGGTGTCACTGAAGCAGTAGCGATTGTTTGTCCAATGGAGGTGGTGAAAATTAGGCTGCAAGCCCAGATGCACTCGATGTCTGATCCATTGGATATTCCCAAGTGTGAGCTATCTTGTCTCAGTATTATTGTGTTAGAGAACGATACATCAAACTCAATTTGTATATCTCAGATCGTAATGCCGGTCATGCCTTGTATCTAATTCTCAAAGAAGAAGGCCCAGCTACGCTCTATCGCGGGGTGGCCTTAACAGCTCTCCGCCAAGCGACCAACCAAGCGGCGAACTTCACAGCGTACACTGAGCTAAAGGCTCTTTGCCAGCGTCTCCAACCTAACATTCAGGGTAACGAGTTGCCGTCCTATCAGACCCTTGTCCTCGGACTAATCTCGGGCGCTGTCGGGCCGTTCACTAATGCACCGATCGACACAATCAAGACTCGTATCCAGAAGTCGACCGCGACGATCGGTGAAACTGCTTGGACGAGATTGCGAGTCGTCGCTAGTGAAATGTTTGTTCAGGAAGGCCCAAAGGCATTCTACAAAGGGATCACTCCTCGGGTCATGAGAGTGGCACCCGGCCAAGCAGTCGTCTTCACCGTGAGTATTCAATTTTCTCGCCGTTACTCTTGCATTTCTTTTGATGAGGGTCAGCCAAGTTAAATGTTTTTTTCTTTTTTCTTCAAAAAAATAATGACGCAGGTGTATGAAAAAGTGAAAGGACTCATTGAGAAATTCAAAGCAGATTTGGAAGTCGGATACGCAGAGTAATTTGGCTTGATTCTTTCCCATTCTATCAAGTCGAAGTGTAGATCAAAAAAATCAGTTTCTTCATTTCATTTTTTCAAGCCTTTGTATAATTTGTAATGTTTTGCAACAGCTAGCAGAAAGCTTCCAGAGGAAAGAAACACCGGTTCTTATCAATTGTATGTGATGGTAGTGTATTATCAAAGTTGTAAAATTTGCATGTAAACTGGTGGAACTCCTGTTTATGGCTCTACATGAGTGCTCAAGAGGTTGCATTTATGGTCTTCAAAGTTAAATTTCATAAAATCATAACCACATAAATCATAAGATCTTAAAACCTTGTTTGCAGGGGATCTTGGTAATCTGATTATGTAAGCTTTGGCTTTCCCAGCAAAATAGTTTTATGATTATATGATTTATGCACTCTATGATTTCATGCATTTCAACTTTGAATACCATAATTGTACTCAGCTATGTGTGGGGCTACTTAATTCAATTTTAGATTGCTGATGTGAATAAGACATTAGGACGGTTCACATTTCAGGCTCCGTTTGGCTGCCCAAAATGTTATATATTGTTATACAAAAATCCTAATAATTGGATTTAAGATTTATCAACCTTAATCCAATTATTACACAACCATGCAAATCCATTATCACGGTAAATATTGGTCCAGTCCAGAATTTCCTCTTGGCTGGAGAATATAAGCAAAAAGTATATTCCGTGATGAAAGAGCTGTTATGATGTGACCTGCCAAACAGCCTTCTCACCAGCGTTATAATCCCCATCCCCCCCCGGCATAATCTGCAAGATTCTTCAATATCAATATATGATATCTTGGTCGGCCAAACAGAGCCTCAAATTTTTTAGCAAATTTTTTATTTGAAGTTAGCAGAGGGAATTGAGATCTCACGCTTAAAATTAACCTGCTGCCAGTGCAAGTTTGGACGGAGTTTTGAAATCAGCAAGCAGAAAGTTTATTACAAGTTAGCAGTGGAAAGTGTGAAATTTGAACTGGGCTATTGTTGTCATATGGGGATTTGTTAGCATGCAGATCTACCAGAGCCTACCCAAAGTCATACAACAAGTCTTCCAAGTTGATGAAACTGAAAGCGTTTGCTGAGGAAAGGGGGGAGAGACTGGGTGATGGAAAACCACAAGGAAAAAGCTCTAATGGTCTTAGGGTTGTCTGCTAGCTTGTACGATGGAAAAGCATTAGCACACACACTACAGGCAGTTGTGTCCAGTAGAGGCTCCAGGGATCAGGTGCAGAAGAACAGATGCTTTTCATTTTCTTACTCAAGAGGCATGATTATTTATCTACATACAAGTGATGGCTGAGTTTTGGGACATCAGGTGAAAAGGAATATCCATCTTGAAATGAGAGAAAAAGGAGTGACAGATGTGGAAGGAGCAACACTAATGTGAAAGAGAAGAAAAAGAGAAACATGATAACAGCTATATTCCAACACAAGTTCCATGTGAGTCTATCTATTTTCAGTAAGTGTGCAATCTTGAATCACGTTTTTTCATTGAAATGACCATATAACAATCATAACTCTGTGCAAAATTACATAGGAGTGAGGTCCACCATCCTCATTCTTCTAAGGAGGCTTCAGTGTGATTGGTTTCAGAAAACATCAAAAACACTTGCTTGCATGCCTCAGTGATTTGTCATAGAAATCATACAGCAAATCAACTTTCTGGTTCTGTGCTCTGGTCTGCCCAGATGAAACTTACCAATCCATATAAGTTGATATGTTTTTGATTGTTTAATCACTGTGGAACAAATTGCTCACAGTGAGAATAGTAGATGATAAAGGAATTTGAATCTGTGTTCTATTACAAAAAAGAGCCAACACACTAAAGGCAAAAGATAATGAGAAAACAGAATTATAGAGAAAAAAGAAAGAGAATGAAAGAGAATGAACCAACAGTGAGAGAGCAGTTTATTTGAGAAGAACACACAAGATGAAGAGAGAATAGAAGAAGAACAGTTTGGAAGAACTGGAAGGATAGAGTTAGTTAAGAGCAGAATCATAAAGGAAGAAAGAGCAAGACAAATCTCAACAGGCAGAGAAGAGAGAGAAGAGAGTTTAAGAAGAGTAAGAAGAAGAAGAGAAAGAGAAGGGGAATTGAGAGTGTGAGATTAGAGATGGTTAGAGAGAGTTGTGGAAGAAGAGTGAGGTAGGTGATTGAGGTTGAAGTTGATTGATGTGAAAGAGATGATTAGGATGATGGACAAGAGCTAGGGGGAAAGGAAGGTAAAGGAACAGTCTTCGGTTAGAGAAAGCTGTGACATGTCTGTGATTTTTACAGATGAGACAACAGAATTACCCAAATCATTTTACCAACAGTAGGAGCTCACACTACCCATAGCAATAACAGAAAAGTGTGGTTCATGGTTAGGACTTCCATTACACTTCAAATAAACCAACAGGAGCAATACAACTTACTAAAAAGAATGTGTGTACACCTCACATCAAGAGAGGGCAATACACACCTTCAAGTAGCTTAGGGGTGGGTTTCTTGGATCAAGCAAACACTTTGGCAACCTGTGGTGCTTGCTGAATCAGTTCACTTTGATTTTGATGTGGTTAATTTGAGGCTAGCATTTAGCAGGTGAGCATGCATAAATCCAATTATGAACCTTGCTTGTGAAATTGGGGCTGTTTATAGCATGAAAATAACTGAAATGGTTTGTCCATTATATTTTCTTTTTTGTGTATTTTGTATGGTTGTTATGTTATCTACACTGACTAAGTTGAATAAAAAACACATAATAAGCAGGTTTATACTTGTATAATGCATTGTTAGACCATTAAAAAACAATGCTCACTGGATGAGATGTGACATCAGGCTAAGTTCAGCATGCTATCCACTATGTACTCAGCTCAACTTGAGCTCAGCCCCATGTAGTACACAAAGGGGCCATTTTAGTTGGATTGCAGTAGGGATGGAGCTACACTGGAGTTGTGATCAATGTTAAATAATGAGATCTGTTATCTGGTGAGAACTGTTTGTTCCTGGTGAATTAATTGCAAGCCAAATACCCACTTTTTCTGGATAATGCCAACAGGGTTATCCAGTGAGGTGGGGAAGTTTATGTTACAAAAATCCTTCAGGATATCACAAGTTATGTAACTTCACACTGTGTTGATTCAACCTTGGTGATCTGAATACCAGGGGTAAAATAGTAAATTATGGTATACAGATTTTTTTCAATTCAATTCCAGCAACACTGTAACAGATACAATATGCTGTGTTTATCATGAAGAATTCTGCAAACAACAATGTAACCAATCCTATCCAATAGGGTATTGGCCAATTTATTGGATCAGATTGATTTTTCAACACCAGGTATCAAAAATCAGAGGATTGGATCGCCCTAGCAATCCAATACTGGGGTATTGGATCAGGATTGGGATTGTGTCACAATCCCAATCCAACACCCAAAATCTGTGAGCTGCATGTCTCATGCTCTCCTATCATCAACAGCATAACTAAGGATGGTAATTGGGCCGGGTGTCCAACGGGCCGCCTGAACCCGACCGGGTTTGGGCCAAGCTTTTCATGTAATTTTTTACTTAAGCCTGGCCCGAGATGACCCGATTAAAGGTTGGGTCTACTCGGGCTGCCCGTTGGGCCGGTGCAGTAGTGGGGGGTCCTGACTCCTGGCGCTCGGTCAGGTCCAATTGGACCTGACCAAGCGCCAGGACCCCCCAGAGCTTAGCTTATCCCAAGGTCCGAACCGACCCCAGTTCCTACTCCATCTGCGACCCCGCCGCCGCGAGTGCTAGCGCCGGAATCTCAACTCCTCAGTGACCAAGCCCGCGGGCGGCCCGGATAAGCCCGCAGGCAGGCCGCTAACAGCCCGGAAGCCCTTCTCTATATCATTTGTAAACGGGCTTGGGTCGGGCTGTCGATTTCTTGAATGCAGCCCGGCAATGTTCTGCCCGCCTCGGGCCGGCCTGCAATCCCGCCCGATTATCATCCTTAAGCATAACCAATCCAATCCCCGGATTGGTATTTATTGGTTATTGGATCAAAAGGAGCCCCAATATTGGATTGCTCTACAAAATCCCAGTTCTCCAATAAATTGGGACGGGATTGGAGATCCATCCAATCCTGATACCCGGTATTGGGGCTCATTTCAATCTGATCCCCAATAAATATTGATCTGGGGATTGGATCAGTTACATTGTTGCTGCAAAGCTGCATGGCCAAAAACCAAATCTGTTGCATATCCTTTCAAATATAATCACATTGGTCAGACAGTTGTTTTATTTGGGTTCAGATACATGTACTTATACATGGCAGATACATGGCAGATACTGTATCTGTTTCAGCCTTGATTCCAGCCATTATTCATAAGGTACATAATCAGGCCAGAACAGAAAAAAATTGACTGTTAACAGAGGTAAATCTGATACATACATAATCAGATAGTCAATCAAGATGGATGGTGAAGAAAATCTGATAAAATTGCAGAGAACCAAAACCAGACTGAAAGACAAAAAGATCAGAGAAAATTCTAAAAACAACAAGCAGAAAAGAAATGAATAAAACATACCCCCAATGATGGACAAAGAAGTAATCTAATGAGGACTTGATAAGATGTAAGAAGAAGACAGAAGATCAAAGAAGCACAACTGAGAATATAAGAAAAGAAAGATTAGTGATTTTCACATCAAACAACAGAGAACAGACTGAACAAGAGAGAAAAAAGAACAAGAGGAAAAAAAACAAACAGCACGAGGAGAACGCTGTGGTATACCTTCAGGGTAGCCATCTGGCCCATTTAAAAATTTTACAGTTTTTTCTTTTATTACAAATTACATACTTTTTACACCTTTTTTCTCATATATACACTCACAAATCAACCATTATGGCTCAAGAACTGGATTCTATGGTCAATTTCACCCTTGGTCACAAGTTCTGACAGTTGACACATGCAGTGTTCAAGTGTTGGTCTGGTACCACTCTGGATTAACAAGTGACATCATGCAGGTTGCCATGTCATTTGTTAATCTTCCTTGCAGCTGTCAGGCTATCTCACACCACTCATGTAATACTCATCACCTCACCTTAGCTTGCAGACTAGTACATCACCTCATGTAAAATGCTACACCAGCATAAAAACCTCATGTACATAGACTTCTAGTTCAAACTAAAATAACTCTTATGACATCATGTAGGTGGCTCAACCAGCCAAAATACCTCATGTACATGTTCTGACTAGCTAAATCCCCTCATTGTAAAGCTCTGGCCAGCTAA